AGCATTATTACTTTGGAGGAGGAAGAGTTGAGCTGGACTCTGGGGCTTTGCTCTCCACAAACCTTCGCTTTCCAAGGCCCAGTCTTATTTGGCGAGGAGGATAAAGTCTGACCGGCCGTCGTATGAAGTCCGGCCAAGCCACACCTAGAGCTTGTTGTATGTGATTATGTAGTTGGTCCGACGGATCCAATTCTGCTCGCTTGTTTGTGTATACAACGAAATATTATAAGGACGATCAGATATGTGTACATATCACACAGACTGTTGACAACATTGTCGTGAATATAAGTCTGCACACCACACGGTTATGTATGTTGCTGCATTGGTGAGAATAGCTTAGAAAATGTACTGAGGGACATTTTAAAACGTAAGATGGAAACTTTGAGAAAAATTATAACGCACGTTAATACTGATATGTGAAAAATATGTAAGGAAATCCTAAATTGGCAAACATTGGCTATATGGTTTTGACGTGCGAGGTAAACTAGGCGGTATCCTGATTAGGCCATACCTTGATTTCTATATAATTATTGCTGGTCAAAGATGGTTTCCTTAATTCCAAATGAAAATACTGATGCTCACTTTCGAGCAGAGTTGCTGACTCTTCGATAATCCTATGTGGTAGACTTTTTATTTATATGTATTGCGAAAAGGCTGAGTAGTTTTATTGCCAAAAAGGTGGTCAACTCGTGCGCGAGTTAAACGCATTTTAACATATTTGAAGTATTTATGTATACTTTGCGCTTATGGTCTTCACAATGTTTATAAATCAAGAGAAATGTGTAACCTAATGTGTTTAATTGTCTTACACTTGCATATGCGTTCCACATTTGTGTTTGTATTCAGGGGAGAAATGCGTGTACACTGTCTGCATAGCCGTTGGAAATCCAAGGGGAAAAGCTATACGGAAAATCTACGAGAACAAGTATCGACTTTCTCCAAAGTAAACTTGGCCACATCTTGAGTGAGAGTTGTGTAACCAACAACAGCCCGCTTGACAGACAACTGACACTTTCCCATCTCCCAAGATTAGGCCCTCAGCCCTTCAGCCTCGATCTCTCGATTTCTAAATGCACTTCTAGATGTGTAGCGTGTATGTAACTTCAACTTCATACGTTGAACATACAGTCAATGGAAAAAGTATTGGCAACCCCCACGTCAGCTAAATAAAATTGGCTATAACCATGGAATGCATCATACAATTGGTATGGAAACAAGATTCCTAAACTTTTTAGCTCGTTTCCGTGGAGTGAATGTATTAGGATTATGTAATGAGGTTGTCCAAGGATGGGCCATCTTTTAAAAATTATTAAAAATTTTCGAGTTGGGGACAGGCACGCATTTTTTGGCGTTGTCACCCGTTGTTGGGTGAGTGAGAAATTATTTTAAAAATTATTTTTGCTACATTTTCTGGGGACTGCTTTTAATTTTTAACTCGATTGCATATTACATATGTGATATTGATGACCATTTTTGTCCCCGATACTTTTATATATTTGTACACGTATTTATATGCATATTTTTATAAAGAGCACAACCAGGTAGATAATTCGAGTTCCGGAGAAAAAATTTTCATTTGTCTAAAACTTGACAAAATTTTCATTATTAAATTATCACTCCCACGATAACGGTGGACCTGGAGGACGAAGAGGAGGAGGATAATTTAGTTCTGGAAGATTTTGTAATTGATGAGGTAGCAGCTGCTGGTGCAGATTCAGAAACCACTCCTGCTGATACCGAAGATGAGTTGTTAACGGTATAAGTTTTTAAAATCATGAGGATGTCAATTTTTGTCAAGTTTTTTTAAAGATAAATAAACATTTCTTTATCTGGAACTCGAATTATCCTCCTGGTTGTGGTCGCTATCTTCATAAAAATATGTATACAAATAAGTGTAGAAATATACAAAATTATCGGGGGCAGAAGTGGTCATCAATATCACATAATATGCATTCGAGTTAGAAATGAAAAAGACCACCGAAAAATAATTTCTCACTCACCCAACAACGGGTGACAACGCCAAAAAATGCGTGCCTGTCCCCAACTCGAAAATTTTTAATAATTTTTAAAAGATGGCCCATCCTTGGACAACCTCATTACATAATCCTAATACATTCACTCCACGGAAACGAGCTAAAAAGTTTAGGAATCTTGGTATGGAAATTTGTACCCATTTAGCAAATATAATGTAGTTTTCGATTATAATCATGATTTATTAATTAAAATTAGATAAACACAGTTTCTAAATAATTTGTTGGAAAATTTGCAAAATTTACCCGCAAAAAGTATTGGCAACCCTTAACTTAAAAAATCATAAATCAAAGAAACGCCAATTTTATTATGACAAACTGCTTCTAGTATTACGTAGCACCTCCCCTCGACGCAATACAAGCAAAAATACGTCGTGGAATTGATTCAACAAGTTTCGTTATAACGCTTTTCTATATGGCTGCCCACACTTCCTTTGAACTTTTGACAAGCTCGTTTTTCGAAGAGTGGTTTCCCACCAGTCCCTCTTTTCTGAATCCGGACAATCAGAATCACATCGGGAGACTGCAATCAACGAAAGAAGCTTAACCTTTTCGATCTCCAAAACCTTGCATCGTTAAATTGGCTACATGTTTGGGGTCACTGAATTTTCGGAATATAAAATTCCTTCATAGGTCAGATTTTTATCAAATAATTTCAAATTATCGTTTAGAATGATTATTTGGACCTCATTGGTCATGATTCCATCGATAATGACCAGCTACCTACGCCACGACCTAATCATTTAACCCCAAACCATAATCGCTCCTCTTCTGTGTTTAGCTGTCATACGAACATATTCGTTTTTGTGAGCCTATTATGGCATCCGCCAGACTTGAACCATTCAATTTGCTCCGAATAAGTAAAATATGCTTATGTCAGACCAGCAGAACCTTCTTCATTCATTGGAAGTCTATTCAGGGTGGTGTTTAGTCCATTCCAATTTATTGAGTTGGTTCGTTTTGGGGACCCTCGCGTCAGTCGGGCTTCTGGACCCTGAAACCCCATGGCATGATTTTTGATTGCTCACAATATTGCATGATATGTTGACGCCACAGTTGGTTCTCAAATTCAACATGGTTTTTGGGGTTAAAATCTTCCGATCTCGAGTGATAATTTGCTTGATTCATCAGTGGCTCGTGGGCGTAGGTGACTTTTTTCTTCCGCACCATGGAAAAGTAGAAACTGAGATTGTCATTTTATATTTCTTGGCTACGTATTCAATAGTAAATATGGAAAAGTATGTTTTCTCTTTGATTTTTCGATAGTAAAGCTTTTTTGTGAAAGATACATGATTATTTCTCGCCGCGCCAAATACAGCTCGTTTGATGTCGCCATTTTGGCTCCAGACAACACAACTGTAGACTTAAAATGTAGCTAACGTCATATTTGGTCACCTAATTAACTTACCGTAATGAAATGTGGTAGCTGATTAAGAAAATTGTTTCGCGTAATTAATTTGGCCACATGTTGCCAATACTTTTTGCGGGTAAATTTTGCAAATTTTCCAACAAATTATTTAAAAACTGTGTTTATCTAATTTGAATCAATAAAACATGACTATAATCGAAAACTACATAATATTTGCTAAAGGCCTACAAATTTTCATGCCAATTGTATAATGCATTCTAACGTTACAGCAAATTTTATTTAGCTGGCGTGGGGGTTGCCAATACTTTTTCCATTGACTGTAAGGCGCATTCATAAAATCTTAGGGTAACATGGATACAATAAAGGCCCACTAATTGAACCAACCAGGTTTTATAGGCCAAAATTAGAAAATAGATACATTATGGATACTTTAACATAAAGTAATTTTGTAGGGTGATAAAGGTTATAGTCACCAAATGGTAGCATAACCATAACTTGTTCGTAAAGGCTTCCAATGAATATTGTTCGAGATGATACTACAATCAAGGTGCTATATTTGAATAATAGCTGCGTATGCATTCGCTCTAGCTTCTTGCAAGCTTAACTTTTCGAATGGTTTAGAATTTAGATAAACCAACCCTTCAGCCTTCGAAGTTTTGAATTGGTTTTCAGCCAGCGCCACAGATGACTATTACTAATTCATCCTATCCGGCGGTTACACCAATCAATTATCCTTCAAGATATATTTCTCCCAACAACAAATTTAAACACAAGAGGTTAATTGTACGTACAACGGTCCATTTACTGTTTGGTTGACATAATGAGACGAGATACTGAAAACACCATTGACATTTATCTAAATTTTAGGCGTATAGGCAAGCAATCAGACCTTAGGGAATATGTCAATTATATGAAGTATCTCCGAGATTGTAGAGAAGTTTAACAAGTAAAGTTTAATTTAATTTCCTACCAAAGTAATCTGGATAATTGTGTTCCAATTACCAAAAAGTGTCACATTATGCCATATTAAGCACCATATACCGATATATGTCATTGAAAAGATGGAAATAATCATTTATATAATTTAAACTTGGATAATGCAAATGACAGTTCCCTTCGATTTCTGAACCGGAAAGGGAAATGCCCTTTTTGATGTATAGAAATACATATATTCCATGCTTTTCTACAAGAGATTTAAATTGGTCAGATTGAAATGAAATGAAACTTTCGCCTAATCATGTTAGAGTAAGTGCGATTAAACCGAATGTTGATAAAAAATGGTAACTTCACACATAAATAGTGCGTGAATCCATTGATCCTTCTTAATCATGAGATAAACCAAGATCCTCCAATTCTTAACGCATTCTTGAGACATCATCGGGCAAAGATGATTTGTCGACCTTCTCCGGAGTAAAGGCCGTATGATTATGTACACTTTAAACATGCCAGAAATCACTCACATTCGCCAATTTTCTACAAAACTTTTACAGTTTTTATGGAACTAGAATGATATGTAAAAAAAATTGCATTTCATTTATGATAAGGAAGTTACGGCCCTTCTTTGTTGTAACCAACATTGAACAAATACACACAGACAGACTTCAGTTCTTATTTGAGTTCCGTTTAAACTCGGCTCAAACGTTGTTCACCACTCGTAAAAAAATAATTAGCAGAGTGTGTGTAATACTTTTGTTATTATTTGAATTTTTATACGGTGCAGAAATTGTAGTGTAAAATTGTGCAAATGTTTCAATAAAAAATGAAAGAAACTTTACAAGTGTGGTGTTAAATTTTGAAGTTTTATAGATTTCTAATGATTACCTAGTATTATGTAATAGGAATCCTATTATAGGATAAATATGTAGACTACATGTGAAAGCAGTATATGTTGGATTATGGTGAAATGTGTCAAACCGAAATTTTCTTAGTATTAATTACTATACCTCAAGTGAACTTATAAAAAATATGTAAATAATGCACTAAAATCGACAAGTATGAACTTGTGCCTTAATGACTGTATGCTGCAGTGCAATTGCCTTATAATTTAACTCGAAATGATGCGAAAGGACAGAATAAATTTGGTAAGAATTGTCGGTTTATTTTTATTAAGAACAAATAATATTTTTTGCAACGTATTCCACTGTAATGGCACGTATTTGTAAAACACAATTCCCTAAAAACGCATTGATATTTATCTGTATGTGTGTATGTATACATGGACAATATTAGTAAATAGTAACATATATATTGTAGGTGACGTTTAAGTAATCGTTGATCGTGTTTTATTTTATCAGAAATGCTGAAATAAATGGTTTGAACACGTAAACATTGAGATAAACTACCCTACACAGCATTCATTTGTTTAATTTCCTCATAAATTTTCTCGGATTTTTCTCTTTTCTCATCCAGATGTTTTCTTTAACAGACATTGATAAATAGCTACTCTGAGTTAGAGGTCATGTCATTCGATATGATGTAATACAGATAAATATTATATCTGTACTCTGTATAGAAGGGGCATAAATGCCTCTTCTATTAGACTCTAAAATTAGCATTCTGCTGCTTCTTGCTTTCTACACAATATTTACGACATTTGTCAAGGTTTATGTACATTACATACATCAGCAGTGTACAATACACCAAGTAATTTATATGATGTCACATAATACATCAAAAAATCTAATCATGAAAATATAAATACTGAATATTAGACATTTTGAACATTCCATACATTTGAATTTGTCATACGAAAACAGACATGTTGATGCATAAATATTTTACTAATGTTACATCATGAACCTGTCAGAGTAAATAAGGCTACTTACTTTTTGACCAAATCATTATATTACATGCATATTTATTATGTGCACGGATTATACATCAAATACAGTAGTTAACGGGATGACTAGAGTTTACCAATTGTGGAGGTCAAGTGGCGGCTGAGTGATAAACATGTCTTATCGCCATCGAGCAATAATTCAATCAGTTTTGTTGTTGTTTACTAAACATGTTTACGCTTATGTACACATGGGTGGCGTAATTAAGTACTAGCATCATGATACTTCTCAATGGAATCGGCACTACAAATTTGTCTTCTTATTATATTCCTTGTTATTATTATTCCTCGGATGCCATTATTTATTATGGTACCTTGTAAGCCAAGATTAGATTAAGATTGCAACAACTGCAACCAGTTATTTGGCGCAATGGAAGTAATGCCAGCAAAACACATGCAATGGTGTTGTAATTGTATGGGTGGCAGCAATTAAATTAGTTATCAGCAATAAATCTGCACTTATGATATGACTGAGTGTGATTTTTAAATACCTGTTTTGCGAATGAATAGGACGTGTGGATATATATTTGTTTTTGGGAGTCTAATAAGTCTTGTTAGATCCGAATTGTGGCATTTCGCTCCCTGCGTTGTAGACATCTATTTTAGCTAAATTTTGAAGAGTTATGACTGCAAATTACAACAACGCGTGATAGAAAGACATTCAACTTATTTCCGAATCCTCATTATTCTTCCTCCAACTACACTGCAATCCTTCCAACGCGAGGAGGGATGAAAAAGTGTGCTCATGTACATATATGTAAACCCCCATTATTCCGAATAAATTTTTAATGTTGGCTGGCTACTGGTTGGAAGGAAAGGTGTGAGTGAAGGAATAATGGATCAGAAAATGATGCAAATGGTCCCAAATATTAGCATTTTTATTGGTTCTTCTTTCTCAACTTGAAAATCCTCTTGATATACTTAAATGCAATGTACACATCCATCCCTCAAGCACAATTGCTATTTTCATGCATTTGAACGTGCATGTACATATGAACATGTACTGAAAGCAGGAAGGCATGAGCCTGTTTGAATATTCAGCTAGCAAAATGTACAGTCAGCTGGTGCATTGAAATTGAGTCAATTTTTGTGAGCAGATGTATTTTATTTTCTCTTTGTACAAAACCAAGTAAAGTAACAAAGAAAAATGTATCGTCAAGAATGAGAAAGTTGGTAGAGCATAAAGTAAAAAATATATATAATAATAATGCCACATTACATTGCACATTTGCATGACTAGTCGACGACTACACCTTATTACACCTACACAGCCATCACCCATTGTATTTTCCGAGCTGGAAAGAACTTCCAATTTTACCCAATTTGGAAGAACTTCCAGTGTTTTTATCTTTGATCTGCGTACGTAGAATCACCACAAGGAATTTGAGGAACAAATGCAGAACGGAGAAAATATGTATTTGGTATTTCTGTGCATACATATATTAAAAATATGTATTTGAATCTTGTTTGTACTATAGGAATCAATCTGCTAGGCAGTAGGAACATAGTAGAATCAATAGGATCGCCATCCATATGGTTGGCCAATATAATGGGTGGGTCTGATGGTGAGTGCGAGGGTGTTTCAGGATTATTTATTCCATCCATCTTCATCTGTCACGGATATTTGGAAATTTTATGGTGCATAGAGAAATGAAATCATATACCATATACCAAATTTTTCTAAATTCTTGATTTCCACCAGTCCTACGTTGATGCATTAAAATGATGCACATAAAATTTGGGCGTTGTTGGAATTCCAAAAGTTTAACACCATTTGTAACACTCACGAACGCCTGAAATCTAGTGTAATGCATGGTGCGGTGAAAGTAATGAAGAAACTGACAGGTTACTCTGTATCAATTTGCTTTCACTTTTATACCTGTCTGCGAGCTCAAGGCGTACCTGTCACTCAAACAAAGATTTTCTTGTGCAAGGAAACCTGCCTCAATTTTGTAGAAGCCTAAACCAGAAAACCTTCTTACGAACAAATTATGTAGTCGGGCTGACCATTGCTTATGCATGCATTTAGAGTCTGATCAATACTGGCAAAAGTGGAAATGAATTATCTTCGACTATAAATAAACAAAAAAGCTTCTAAGATTTTGGTGTTTTTAGACCTTTTAACATGCTCAAAATATTGTAATTATATATCATTCACTGATGAAAATTATTTGTCATATTTTTGATTGCCCTAAGTCGACAATTTATTTGAAAAAAACTTGGGCGCACACCAATTTGTAGATGAATTTGTACACGAATGAAATGTATGTACTGACATTATGTGTGTATTATGTGGAAAGTTATTTAGGCGAGCTTTAACATTGGTGTACTTACACACAATTCGCCATCCTACGTAATACGTAATATTCTCGCAGGAAAATGAAACCTCGTTTTGGTATTTGAACTCTAGCCAAAATCTGACAGCGATTATTTCTCTTGGGAAAATAATTGTGATAATCTTATTAGTTCTCTTGGCTCTTGACTCATGACTAGCGTAGACTGGATAGAGTAATGGTGTTCTTACAAAGTCCGATCTATCAAAAGTCTTGTGCTTAAAGCCAAGATCTGCTCATTACTTGCAAACTTGGGAGAATTTCTATTCCTCCTCTGATAATGGGAAGTTACTTATTAAAACCACAAAAAATATGAACCTCTGCTGGCTTCCATTACGTGCAAAAGTTCAAACGGCCTCCAAATAATCGTTTGCCAATTAGTTTTATGAGAAAAAGAAGGAAGTGAAAGCACATCACGCAATAAAAGTGGAGTCCTCATTAGTCATAATTACTATTTTCAGACCCTGCCAAAGGAATAAATCGCGGGATAATTTTCTGGAGTGAAAGCAACTGATACCCCCCGCCACCACCAACACCACTAATCGCTAATCAGTGTGGTACTATGCAGCAGTGGTGGTAACTAATGGTCTTCTTTCCGCCCTGGCGTCCACACACACCCAACCAAACCCTTGGACTGGATCATGATTAATGATGATGACATGTCTTCCTCTGTAATCTCTAAATGAACCTGTATGGACGGATGTCTGCCTGGAAGGCCCACCATCTGATTACTAATCAATGAGACATGGACATTCGACTACTGGACTGAATTGTTAAAAAAAGTGGTGACGTTGTTTGTTAGAAAAACTTGAAATACCAAAAGAAACCTCTCCATCCATAAAACCATATCATAAACACATAGCCCGAACTTACATCGCACACTTTTTGCGTCAAAGACAAAATTTAACCCAAAGCAATACAAAATAAAATTGTGACTTCGGTAGGACTAGCCGTGAAAACAGCGGTATATTTTTGAATGTTTGTTTAGCCACCAAATCTACAATTTCAAGAGGAACGTCGACGAGAAATATCAGTAACATTAAACTATCAGAAAACAAGGGAGAAAGAAAGCAAGGTGTGCAAAATTCAAACCCCAACCATTCTTGAGTATAGATAAAAAAATACTGTAAGATACACCATACGAAAGGTAAGCGACATTTTTGTGTAATAAAATGTTAGTATGTGGCACTTGAGATTTGAATCCTTAATGTGATTGTTGCCATTCCTTCATTTATTATCCATTGTTCCCTCAGATGCCCTGTTGGCTTATCCTTATTGTTATTCGTTAATATACATATCGTCGCTGTAAATCCTTAAAGTATCCCTGGTACTTTATGGATCTACAGCGACGATATGTCGTACGTTTATTTTCACTGGAATTTTATGAGACCTTTTCCATTAAAACGAATTTGAATGTTCCATCAGCATTGACGTTATGACATGAACTTTGGAATCAACAAACGTTATTATGCTATTTAATCCTGGAGGAAAATTAAATGGCAGTAAAAAAAATACTGTCATATTTACAAGAATGCCTATTTGCAAATGATCATATTGCATACACACAAGACAAATATATGTATGTATGTAACCACAGGTTCTTAATTTACAGGGGTTGGCCGTTAACAAAATTTCAATGAAAATGGAGACAATGGAATCGACTAGATCTAATACCTCAACTGGAACGGGAGGTTGGTCAGGAGGGCATTCCACGCTCGGAGCAGGGCGATGTGGTCCCCTAGAAGTGCTTATAAAAAACCAATGGCATCGTGTCCTTGCATCACTTGAGGGACAATATATCTCACTCAGTTTATACGAAACAGAAGCCAATTCCACCACCACGACAAATGGGCATTCAAATTCCAATTCGAACAATGGAACGTCTTCTAACACTCCCACGCCACCAGAGCAGAATGGACACGACTTTGGGTAAAAAATTAATTACTATCAACCGATCTGACCTGAACCTTGTAATAATAAGTACAACTACCATTAATAATGTTGTCACTCATGTGTACATCTATTTTCTTCTGCAGAAATTCCAACGGAAATGAAGGGATGAGTTGCGAAGTGCGGTTGGTCCGTGTTGTGAAAACTGAAACGCACGGTAAGTCATGTCTCAAATAATAATAGTAATACACGAACATCATACATTAATGAAACACCATGATCCTTCCTCTCCTGTCATTTGTTTTATTTTACTCCAGTTAACGATAAGAGACTTTATTCGGGTAATAACAAAGGTTCTTAAATTTTACCCAGGTCTCGGAGTTTCCATCAAAGGAGGGCGTGAGAATAATATGCCCGTAATAATCTCCAAAATTTTCAAGGTGAGATTATAGTTTTTTTTTGCTAATGAATCTCGTTCCCAGACCGACACAGTTGCCAGAAGCAATATTGGGTAAAACTTTCATTTCATACGAAGATGAAATCTTTCTTCTCATTGATGGAAGTGGAAAGCTAGGCTGGTGCAAGGGTGAAGGTGGAATGACGGAAAAGAAAGTGAGACTCATCAGAGTTAAGAGAAAAGAAGAGAAAATCGATACTTTATCCATTATCCACACAACATAACATAACCCATTAGGAGTTGGCTACCTCTCCTTCCTTCCTTCCATCCAAGAAGAAGAAGAAGAAGCAAGCTGCCATTAGATTTTAGAGAAGGATATATGCTGCCTGTTACACCAGCACCCAGCCGACAGCCACCTTTCTCCTCTTTCTCCTTTGTTTATTATGAGGCTGCTGCTGCTGAGAGAGAGAGATTCGTCGTAAACATAACCGTTTTGAGTTTTACTTACTCCAAGGTATGTACAGCCATACCTTTTTGGAGAGAGAGAGAGACGAGACGTTGCTACCCGTCCTAGTCCAATATTAAATTACGATGAGACCAACGAGATTCCAAGTTATGCTAAACTTTGCAAGTTTTCATCCTTCCCGAATTGAATTGGAGATAGTTTTCATTTTCAAATAGTTCATCTAGCAACGACTACGCTGATCTCGACGAGACTCGGAGGCTGAGTTCAGCCCAGGATGCAACTTTGCCCTTCGCCATAGGATAAACTTTGCTCTTAAGAAGATGGATTTGAATTGAATCGGATAATATTTTTGGTAGTAAAAGGAGTAAGGCAGGCAGGGTGGGAGGTGAACTAGCTCCATAAACTTGATCGCGATGAGAAATTAGAAACAAAAGGAGAGAGGACGGAGAGAAAGGGACGGTTCTGTCTGACACAGGATAAAGAGGAGCAAGATTAATTAGGGAAATGGATCTAAATTCATACAATGGGATATACTTAATAAAAAATGTAGATTTCAATGACGGATGAAATATACAATAATATGCTAATTTTCTTGAGATAACATTAAAATTTTTGTTACTAATTTGGTAGAGCTGCAGACTAGATAGATGTGTATTTAATATTATTATTAGCATAAGTGCGCATCGCAGTTCAACCTTGATTGGATTTAATTTGGAAAACCTTCAAAATTTCCAATCCAATTTCCAAGTTTCAAACTGGATAAATACAAAATTTGTATTATGGGATAGAGCCAGAGATGATCCTTTTCGTTTCCCTGTTTTGTGCATAATTGAATGAGCAAGTTATTTAATAGGATATCAGTTGAAAAGTGCTACTGCGTATATGCTTTGCCAGTGGGCAACATATTTTCTTCCACACCTCGAGCCCAGACCAGAAGGTTTCGGAGAAAAACTTGCTGTGAATAGTTTTGAAACTTTGTGCCAGATAGCTTCAATTCCGTTCAAGTAAGTTTCTCTCAGGACCTGGAATGGATCAGCCTCATATTTAACAACCGTAGTTAAGTCGATTACTTTGTTTGTACTAACAAGTGTACGGGAACTTTGTTTTGGATGAAAGCTCTTGAAAAGTTTTGCATCGATGGGTTTCAGGTGCTTGTCTGATTTTCCCATAGTTTCTTGGTAATTATTTGTGAGTGGCGAGGGAGTAGCCATCATCGTGAGGTTAAAGTAGCTTCGCAGTGTCAAATTGTTTCATCTCAAGATGTTGGCGATATGAGATAAGTTTTCAGTTGTGGTAACATCACCCCTGCTGTTGAAAACCTAGCCTGCGGAGGACGTATGACCGACAGAGCTTCTCTCTCGTCAAGACGCTAACAAACTAAAATCATGCATGGTCATGAGCTCAGCAACCATATTGCACATGGCATGAAGCTCCCAGTTTTGTATTCGGATACTTAATGCAAAATGGCACAAGCAACTTTCTCCAGTCCCGCTCATCCAAGGAAGAAAGCCTGCCTTTTGTCTTTCTCAGCCAGCTCTTCACTTGATTTGAGACTGTGCTTCTCTCTGAATCCAAATCCGAATTTCACGGGTCACAGATTGTCACTTGCAAACTTTAGATTTCGGAGACACAGAGAAAGTTTGAACGTTGTTTGTGTTTTCTCAATATTGTTCCAATTTGTTCATGTGAATGTACTGTGAACACACGTGCGCATGCATAAATATGATAATAGAAAGGATATATTGTGGTACATGTCGCATCGTCAGGTGTACATCAGATTTCTTTTTTTTAATTCGCAATTTATTAGACACTGGAAGGCGGAGATATACGGAAATCCATATCCAAGTTTTCTTTACATACATTTGGATTTTTTTAAGAAGAAAGGTGGCAACCGAGTTGGATTTTTTTATACGCGCCGTAATGATTATGCGGTAGATCAGAAGATGCATTTGTACTGAAGAATTCAGAGTACGGTATGTGACATAAATCACTGCGAGCGCCTCCTTCCCTTCGCCATTTGATCTGGCTGAGCAAGAAAGAAATAACGAGGAGATAAAGACAACCACGACCACCAAGTGAGAATAAAAGTGTCAAAACCTGGCATTATGTTGATTACATTTTTTATTAAAAAGGAAGGCTTATACACTTTCACCACTCACTTGTCAGTTTGCATATGTGGATGCAGTAAGCAGAGTGATTTTCTTGGTGTGGGTTGTTCTCCACACTGCTGTGGATTTGCAGAGAAAATGTGGAAAGGAAATCTCCACATGTGTCCTGATTTCGTTTGTTGTAGGGCGTGAATTTTTATGGGAGCATTAATCCAGGATATGGATTATTGTGAAAAATATGACAATATTTGTACCAGGACTCTGTCCCAACGACAAGACCTGCATATGTACACAAGACGAACATATAGGGTGATCAACATGAGACATGCTCGAGTACTCCAAATCCAATCCATGTTTCAATTTCCGCCCTATACCTTAACTGATACGCCATGTGATTCTGATGATTTATGACAGCATGACAATTTTCTTGCAGGGGATGGCAGCAGACCAAACGGGACAGCTTTTCGTCGGTGATGGTAAACATCCATTTTTTACTGCTTGGGATTAGTTAAAATATTTCAAATTTCGGAGGTATATGAAATGTCCCCCAGCCCCCTTCATCGTTGTGTATTCAGCTACCCTTGTGTTTATGTCCTTGGTCATTAACTAATCCTAAGTACACATATTTACGCGTGAACAAGCTTGAATCTTCAGTTTTGCTACTTTATTTTATAGCTATTCTCACAGTAAATGGAGAAGACTTGCACAATGCAACTCATGATGAGGCCGTGAGGTCGCTCAAGAGAGCTGGGAAAACGGTCGAGTTGGAAGGTGAGTTATTTCTCTTATTTAAATTAATGTACCACCCAAAATGTGTCACCAACTGATATTTTATTTTACGAGTGAAGTGAGTGACACTACACAAGTACTTATCATAGAAGAAAATTTATATCCACGGGATTTTTAGAGGATGAATTTCAATTTTTCATGACTTCAATTTTAGAAAATTAATTTTAGAACTATGAAATTCGTTTTTTAATACTCCCATATGTACGTAGACATGTATTTTTTTATAATCAACTATTTGAGCCATTTCCCAGCAAACCAAACCGTCACCGTGCACCCGACCCTAAGAAAAACGTGGTTTTCGCAAGCACTGTACATGTAGACAAGGCCGTAGTCACATAGTTTTTGCGTACCACACCACGAAGGACCATTAATGTCACCCTCACACAAACAATTTCGACACAAAGCTTTTTCCTAGAATTAATTAAACTGGGGCCTGGTATTTGTTCCATGTCAGGTTAATGTCACCAAAAGAGAAAGTTCGTTTCGTTCAAGCTATGAATATGTGTACCCCTCTACACACTGCACGAAAGATAAACTTTCACCACCAACGGCTTTTCACTGCCTTTTCTATAAATTTTTAATTTTAAATGCAAATGAAACTTGTACATCTTTGCAAAGTTAGTCGAAATACAACAAAGGAGTTCAAATCAAACCAAAGTGCGTGGTGTATGTACATTGTGTATATGCTGTTTAAATAAGTGTGTCAGTAATTTTATTGTTTGTTGTTTACAGTGAAATATCTGAAGGAGGTGACCCCATACTTTCGCAAGGCATCCCTCCTGGCTGAACTGGGCTGGGTAATTATTTACAAAATTGTCTTACTTCTTTATACCAACTTCCATGATATCTGTGCATTTGATATTCTACACTAAAACAAAAAATATTTAGAAGCCTGGAAAAGCCTGCAAATCATTAGTTGAAGCAAATTGCCAGGCTTCCGCAGGTTGTCTTATCTCAAATAATCGTATATTAACAAGTTTGTCATTTTTACCAGGACCTGCAAAAGGAGTACATGGCGAATGGGACCACCTGCACCACATCCCCCGAGGACAATGGGGGGCGGGCCGAAGAACCGCTCGGTCTGCCTGGTCCAGCACCCGACTGCTCCTTTGGGCGCTGCGACACCCGGGCCGTTCCCCTCACCCTCGCTTTCCTCGCCACCAACTACAGACACCCCGACCTCGGTATTTTATTGAAATATTTTTTAGGGCAGAGACGGTTTAATTATGCATGTAAAAGGTTCCAAGGTAGTGGGACCTAGCCGAAAATGATTGTGGGGCATGGGGCGTGGAGTTTTATACATTTTTTTCCAGAACTGCTACAATTCATTCCACATATATATTCGTTTCAAGTGGTAGTTTAAATTCACATCATTTCAAATTATAATATAATGATGACTCCACACGAGACCAGACTCTTAATGTCTGTGTTCTGCTGGCTCTGTGATACGTTTCTCATGGAAATTGAGCCAATCTATTTTCCGTCCTTCTTCACTCTCCTCATCCTCCTTCGTCTTTCCTTCTCTCAGTCACTCGTCGTCAGCCAGAGAGAGAGACGAGAAAATATGTAGAACATGACAGCAACTGAGACCATTCCTTTCAATAGTGATCACATTCAGACGGATTGAGTACGTATATCCATTAACCGTCCTAAAAGTATATGTACTTAATACGTGTATCTATCTGGAGGGATGGTAGCATTGCATGCAAAATTTATTTTGACAATATGCATGAACTTTACATGGATGTGCATAAGTATTGGTCGTCTTGATAGTTTATGGGGACGATTTAATTCAGAGGAACAATTTAAGTGGGCTAGGAGATGTTGGCATCAATGTAATTTAGGATCCAAAGAGAGAGATGAGAGCAAGTCAAGTTGTAGAATGGTGAGAGAGATTCCCTGAACTGAATGAATGAGATGTGACTGTGACACCACGACAATAGCATTTGCACTCTTCGTAATTCTGTCCTTTCTCTCAGATATTCATTTCTCCTTTGTCTCTCTCTTTCGCTCTCTCTCTCTTTGGGTGAGGAAGACCCTGGCAGCTTAAATTGTCTTTCTTGGATTACATGGAATTTACAAGTAATGAGTTTAGCTAGCAAATTCTGTCTGCGGAAATTTTCCATCTGTCTCCTGTGTCGGCTGTCAGTCATCCAATATAATTAAAAAGGGTTTACAATTCATCCTAATGTTAGTTAGCATAGCCAATGCAAAATGTAGCTTTTGACAGAAGATGGAAAAATTTGATTTATGTATTTGGTTTATATTTGGGTTCGAATAAAGCCTTGGGTTGTGGAGGCTACTAAATATATCTGCTACTACTAAAATGATTAAAGGAAAGCTGAGGCGGACTTTAATTTAGTTGAACGAGTTGGGTGGGCACATATACATTCCCAGTGGCTCTGGAAGGGAAAGATGACACGGGAACGTGTCTCTTTCCCCTCCTCCTTTCCCCAAAGATAAGAGAGTGCACTGCATTTAATCGAGTAATTTAAAGAGTAAAGGCACTGTAAAAGTTTATTTGGCTGCTGGTGGTGTAGAGGAGACACATCTTTGCTCACATCTTTATTGAATAATTAAACGACGCAGGGAACAACGGCTCCCTTCGGTCTCTTTCCTCGTGTCATTATTATCCGAAAGGACTTGTTGGATGGAGAAAGCAATTCATTTTATTCTCCTTGGTTGGCAGCATGGACATTTCCAATATCTGTGAAATTGCATGTCTCACGTTCATGTTGAAGGATACCAATGGGCACATAGTGTCCGACTTAAAACTGAAATTATGGAATAAATGGTCTATTAAAGAAAATCTAGAGTAAGTATTTAGAAGGAAGTCTACTATAATACGATATTGTGGTGTGAATACATAGATGATTACTTTTTTTAGCCACCCCTGTGAAAGTGAAATTATACTTTAGATTTTCACATATGCAAACTTTGTCACTTTTTTTTACTAACCTTCAATAATCATATTTGGAATTGTATGATTCGTCCAGATCACCGAACCATGGAGCTCTATGCACCGGACGGTCTCCATTCTTTGGTCTTGCGGGCCGGAAGTATGGCTCAGTGTCAGGCTTGGGTATCCGGGCTGAGCCACACCCTCTCAGACTCCACCCAAGTGGCCCTCCAAAGGGCAAACCGCTACGTCCAAGGGTTGCTGGAGGGCAAGGTACGACACATGGGTTGGCTGCTCAAGAGAAATCCACCAGCGTCGGAACAGCAACATGGACATCAAAGTCACGGATCTGCCAATAATTCCATCAAGGTAACCTCCATTATGTAATAACCAACATTTTCTACACGAGGTATCGGAGGTCAACAGCGGCACACTATTTTGGCGAGATGCGCTGCGCTGACCCGATGTACATTAGTTTACACACATGTTCCACGTGTAGTGACACTTAGAGGGTGAGACTTGTAATAATACTTAAACGAAAAAGAATGATGCGAGAGAATGAGATTGGGTTCCCACTCCCGGTCCATGGGTTGTTGACGTCTTTCTCGCTCCGGTTAATTAAGTGATGTACCTTTTAGTTAAGAGTGACTCCTTCCAAAAGACTCGAGAGACCATGACTTGAGACACATTACTGCTGAACAGCTACATAGTCTCACAAGTATAGGGAACACGTTGCGCTGCTTTGGTATTGGAGTTTGTGGATGGTTGTATAGGACTTGAAGTAATTGGGGGTCCCATCCCATTCACCACTAATTGGGAGTGTATCTTTCTTGGTGGTGTTATGGTGGCGCAGCATGGCACACACCGCAGATGTAGCATCAGCACACAGCTAATTTAATTAGTCCACTGGCACTTGTCTCTTATTTATAATTCTTTGTGCTGCTTTGGCTCGTTCGGTTCAAGAAATGTGAAACGCCTTGTTCCTTCAACAGAAGGCAACATTTTAGGCACATAGTGAATACGACTTTGGCAAATATGTACGAATTACCAGAGCAAATAAAAAATTCTACGGCTTTATTTTTTACAGTCTTGTCACACTGATGCTTTGAAAATTGTCTTTAAATGTATTTGTGCATAATCCTAATGCTAAAAAAATATATTTATTATTTCAGAGTCGAAGCCAAAGCACGTCGTCGGATGGAGATGATGCGAGCAATTTGTGGCAGCCCAATTTCGTGGTAATTATGCTTTCTCCTATTATCCAAATTCATGACTATATATTAATCTAAACTCCTAAAAATATCGTCTTTGCAGTTTTCAGTAACAAAAATTCATGTTCGCCTTTCTCATTTTCAGGTTATCACGGATAAAGAACTGCGTTTGTATAACTCTCCTCCATGGTCGATTGATGCCTGGGCGAACCCATACGACTCGTGGCCGCTTCTTACCACAAGGTACTAAAGTTATACTGGTAAACTACTATAAAGTTGTGCTTATCTTCATGTTAGAACTAGCGACGCATATTATTTGTGAAACCCATTACATACACCTTAGGATTATTAGTGTTGCGAAATTTATTCGGAGCCTGCCGAGTTAAGTGACATTTTCGAGATCACAAATGCGAAAACCATGTTGTTGTCTGTCAGTCCAACTTGTCAGAGTTGGCGAATTTATGTAAAAGTGTCGTCCAAGGACATTGATATACCACTCTCACTTTGCATTGCGAAGCACATAAGAATAGGGCTTTGTTAAATAAAAAATGCAATTGAAAGAAAATTGAATGTTTGAAATTGCATTCGTTGAGTTGTTTTTGAATGGACAAAACCGTTCTAAAACTTATTCCATAAAGTTCATTTTTTTCGTAAATAAATGAGACAATAATATGGAACGAATTGCTCTTTCCCTGCTACAAAAATTGGTAATGTCGACTATATCATTTGATAGATTATATTAGACTTCGATCCTTCATTTCAAATAAGTGGAGCATGATTCTAATAATCTCCTTCCTTATCGTAGGCAAAGACATGCTAGACAGCACTCCAGAAAGTTCTCCCTAAAAAATAGATAAAAGAAGAAACTTTGGATTTATGCTACGTAAAATGTATTTATCATAATTTAATTTGATATTCTTGGAAAAGCACTTGGTTAGGGGAGTGAAATGGAATGTAAGAATCTCCTGCTCGCACATTTCCAGACAGCGACTGCTAAAAACTACTACTGAATTCATGTTGTGTTATCTACTTTCACCGTTGACTTTCAATTCAATCGAATTTTGCATATGAAACTCAGCACTCAGTCAGCCAGCATTCTGGTGCTCCAGGGGGTATAAGTGGGGGACAATCTAGCTGGATGAACAACTGCCAGGAAAGGGGTTTCATGAACTGAAGAATCACAATGAAATTTATTTGGCTTAGTGAAAAAGTTATTTAGTTTTAGAACTCGAAATAAGAAAGTATGCATCAACGTTGACTTATTTTTTCATGTTTTGTTATTGTACGAAATAGTACGCATCTCTACAAGTAATGCGTAAGAATGAACATTGCAAAGTAGTTACTAGACCTGTTTTCTATATATATTTTTTTCTTTACAAAGAATTTTCTTTTGATACTTTCAGATTGGTCAGTTCCAGCAGCCGCAGCCAAAGCACGTCCCCAGCCGGACTGCGTGACTTCCTCACTTTTCACATCAGAATCGGAACTCCTTCAGGCGTGGTCAACGTTATATTTAGAACTGAAACACAAAAGGATTTGGCAGGCTGGGCTCGAAATATCGTCGTTTCCTCACACGAAGCGGCCAATAGTCAAAAAGAGATCTCTTGCAGTAAGATTTCACATTTAAATAATTTCGTGTCATGTGCAGTAAGAATTTTTTTACTACGTACACGCATAGTCCAATTAATTACTTTGGTTAATATCACAAGTTTTTTTGGAAAAGAGTTTACAATTTGTCATCCTCTAATTGAAGAGTTTTGGAGCAAAATGAAATCCAAACAGTCTTGCTCAAAAAATACCAGAGGGACCAAAAAAAGTTTCGACTTGTACTTTTTTAGTAGTTGCTGCTGAAATAAAACTTTTTTTTTTACAAATTGGATTTTAACCAGCGATTAATTTGTAAGTTTTGCTCGGGACAAGTCTCTAATTTATGTGGGCTGTGTGTGTGGCCTTTACGTCCGTGGGTTATGTTATCTGCACCATCCGACAGAGAAAACTATTTACCTTCTTTCTCCATCTCTCTCGCTCTTTCTGTTTCTGCTGCACACTTGTTAGAATTCTCGCCTTCTTTTTAGGAAAAGATCCTGCAGAATAAGTATAAGAAACATAAAGTGAAAAGAATGTGTCACATATTTTTTAGAAATACTGTTCCAAAAACCCGCATTATTTTCCCTCAAGGGTTTCTCCCATTCCTTGAGCTTCCTTAATTACGTTCGAGCGGACCATAATTATTTCCAAGAGTCTGTTACTGACTGGATTGGCCGGGTTTGTCTTTCTGTAAAACAAAGACAAGAGCAGCAACATGTTCAAGTGCACCTCAGAGATTAGCAACAAAAACTTGGTTGGAGAAAGTTTGGCCATTTGTGCCAACTTTTTATTTTACACCACCGTTTATAACTTGGTCTGGAGGCAGTTTTTGTGGAAGAAAGCCCGGTCTCTGTACTTTCACCAGCTAAATGACGTTAAGACTTGATGTTTAAGAGAGGCTATAAGTTGAGGAGATAAGAGCGGAAGTTTCTAGAGGTTTATACTTTGGTAATTTGGCAGACGCATGCAGCAATCACTTTTAAGACCACCAAAATACTTGCACATAACATACCTAAGTATAAATATGTACGTATTGCATTGCACATAATTTTTTCTGTAATTAAAGTCGTCCAAAGTCAGGTAGGGATCAAAATAATCATTTTATTGCAAAAATGGACTCAAGAATTTTTCCTCTCTTGTGGTTCCTTAGAATGCAGTTGGAAGAATGAACCCTGTCAGCTAAAGGTCCACTACGACGAAGGCTTCACTCTCTCAGAGTTGCCCAAGGGCGAAGGGGGCGGCCCTCCAAAGGTGCTCTGGCAGTACTCGTACACACAGTTGAGAACATCGGCGGATGATGCAAACCACTTGTTGTGGCTCGATTTTGGGGCCGAAGACGGTGAAAAGGTTCAACAACAGCATTATGTAATTTTGCTCTCTTCTTTCTCCTTTATTACTAGAGTTAAAAATATATATAATTTGCCTGATGTCATGCACATATGAAGGCTGTATGATGCATGATATATTCTACATCTATGTTGACGCTTGTTTCGGTTTCACAATGCATTTTTTGAATTAGACATTTTGAGAAACGTGGTTTTTAATGTCATTGTAATGTTTATTTTTAGGAGCTTGATCTTCAGGTAAGTGTACAAATTGTATTAACGCTTTGTATCTGCAGGTAAGATTGTTGTGACATAATCTAATGAGCAACTATTATTGTGCAGGGCTGTCCTAAACCCTTGGTATTTATAATACATACCTTTCTTTCTGCTAAAATTGCCCGTCTTGGGCTGCTTGCCTGACAAAACGACGACGTCCTTGTCTGACGGCAGGGACGTGGAGGTCGTGTGCCTCCAGTACCACCTCCGAAACCAAGGGCGAGGAGAAGGTCTCAACCACAACAAGAGCTCCAGGATGACATTCAACAGCAGAACAATCCATTTGTTAACAATCATCGCAGATTTCATAGCAATCCCAGAGTTAGGAGCAATTCTTTATCGGGTCATGTGGCTTAATGCCTTTTTTACGAAATTGTTATTTACGTGTATAAATAAGTTACCCTTGTAATTAATTGTTATGAATTACACATATATTTGTAATACCCAATACGGTCGTATTTTACTAATGCTTTAACTAGATTTTTATAAACTACATTATTCAGGATAACTCTAGTATCCATTTCATGCTCGAAAAAGTTAAGCACAAATTCCAAACGAACCCCTCCCTATAATAAATAATAATAATAATAATAATGATAATAGTGTTTAGAGTGTCCTATTGTTTTTTTATTACTCTTTAAAACTCTTCCCTGTGGGAAACTCGTCAATTGATATCTGTCATATCTGCAAAAAAGTGAACAAATCAGAAAAAAATTCAAATGCCTATCGTGAACCTTACACTATAATCAATTTCAAAGTTGCTGAAGCAAAAGTTCAAACGTGTCTGTCTATTAGTATTATGAAGGAAACGAGCCAAGTCTTTTCACTATGAATCATTCATATCGGTGCGTAATTTGTAGCAATTTGTACAATAAAGTGGAATTTTATATACAGATAAGTACGTTGTAGATAAAATCAACAAACGGAAAGGTTGTAATAAGAAATGAGATGATGACTTGCTTTCTGGACTTGGTCAGCTTTTTATTGTAATCAAATGATGCCAATACCTTTCTTTTCTTTCATAGATTAAAAAGTCCTTGGAATTTCAAAATTATGTAAGTCAGCGAAAATAGATTAAAAAAATCAGAAGTTTTTGAAACAACCATAACGTATTTGTGTAGAGCGGAGACGAAATGAAAGTATTATTACGAGGTAAAGTACCATACAGAATGTAATACAATGTGCCTTTATATCTGATATAAGAATAGAAATTTAATCAATGTTACTAAAACCCAAGTAGTTTTACTGATTTAACATGGGTGATTGAAGTCAGTTCAATTATTGACTACTTTGTAAGTCTATTGGTTATACAGCTACTTATTATATCTACTAATAAGAAGTAAATTAGTCCAGTCGTGATTTAGTTTAGAAGGTCGGAAACTTTAAATAAAGGATTTTTACATAAAAAAATGATTATTTATTGTCCACGTTTATAGCACGAGTGAAGCTTGGTTCATTTATTTAAATGTTGTGCATATGCAGTAGTATTCTTAATCACTTAATTATACATATCACTGTCCTTCATCCAAGGAAAAGGCTGGTTAAAAATACTATAATACTCGGTTTCTCCTCAACATCACCGCTTCATTAATCGATCTAAAGAAGTTTCAGACGAGTAGGCCGAAGAAGGAGGACTCGTCCCATATCCCACAGCGTCCGACCCCAATGGTAAAGGCACGTACTTTTCCTGACCACTGTGCATCTATGCAAGGGTCAAATATAAAGGACATGCGGCATCAGTTATGAAAATCTTTTTCAAGCTCACCAACAAGAACAGTACGCCCATTAGTAACACTTTAGCGTTTGTCCCTACGTCCGGATTGACGACAAACCCAATTTTAGATTGAGCGATGCATCCGGAAAGGAAGCGTAGGCCTCTGCCTCTTTTCATGTATTCGATTCTGCCAATAATTTCCTTTGTATCGGTTCTAAAGATTTTCATCTCCTGATTTCCAGAAGAAAAACATCCAACCTTCCTTGGGAAACCAGCCATTCATGTTGTAATTACTCATAAAAATAACTCATGATTATTAAATAATTTATCTAAAATAGGTCTGCATATATATATGTACGTATAAAGCAGACCTTAGGGTTTTCTGTGGGAACTAGTCCTTTTGATAACTCTAGCGACATTCGGCTCATCTTTTTCAAACTATTTCTGTTCTTGGGAATTCTCATCACACGATAAACATCATCCTGGAACTTGTCTTTCAGAACATAGCCGTGTGCACTTCGCTCCACTCTCCCCACATACATTTCCTCCTTCCCGTAATATGTTTCTACTATCTTACAGAAAAATAGAGTTTACAAATAATTGTCTTCTTTAAGTCATCTTTGACCAGCATTGCGAATGTCGCTAAAGGATGTACTTACATCTAGCTGTGAAGCACATATATGTGTTTTCCGGACAAATGTAACAAGTTGAGTTCCCGTGAGGTTGAAGATTTTTACTTTGAAACCATTCCTAAAGCAGGAGAAATAGCTACAAAAGAGAGATTTGAACCACGTTGGGAAAGCACGCTGGGATTTCCTGGCGTAAAATAGTGGAGTCTTGTCATCTCGTGTGCTTATTTTAAATGAAGTGTCCAACCCTGGGCAAAAGTCATTATGCAATCGTAATTACGTTTTTATAAGGAATGTTGGTAAGTCGGCGTAATGTAGTACCACAAGGTATGCATTGGACCTCTTGCACCCACACTTCTCCAGCACTGAAATCTAGCATGATTAAAATTTGCATGATTAATAAAAAAGGTTCGTAGCGAATACCTGAAAATGTCTCGGAATCCGGCTAAAAAGTTTCGGTCCACCCACGGCTCCTGTTTGTTCATGAGAGTAGCAAAATAAGCCTGTGCAAATATTTAAAATAAATCTATATGTTAACAATTGTTACATTATTGTTCTTTAAATAAGCCTATTTTAATTCACCACATCCACCAGTCCTTTCCCCAAATCCCCATTTGAATCTATATTAACCTCTTCATCATCTCCTTTACGACCATCTACGATGTTTGCAGCAGGAAATATCATAACACTGATAAAATATTATGTGAAATATTTTTATTTCAAGGCCCAATAAAACCTTCAATTTTCAATACCTCTAAATCGGACTGATTTTCTAGATTTTTCAGAGTCCAAAGTATTACCAGATCCATGTTTTACTTTTCCTTCCAAATATTTTACATTATCAGTCGTAAGATCATAGGAATTCCCAATGGACGTGTCAGAAGTATCCTCAGCTTTGGACACCAATCCTTTGTTACCGAATTGTTGCTTGGTCATTCTTTCCCATGTGTGAGTCTTGTATCAAATTATGAACATTTTTGTTTGAATTGGTTTCATGCAACAAGTCACTGCAACATGATCTTGCTCAATATCACGACGACGTATAAGAACGTGTGTGCGGGGGTGTCTGACTCAATATTAATTCACACTTATCACCCACGAGGGTTGCCAATGATACCAGCCAATTATGATAATAAATATGTAGTGAAATATTCGTATTATAAGATACACAGCGTCAATAAAATTATTCAAATATACGAAAAATCTACATAAAAATATCTGCATACAAATCTTTCTTTGGATGAGTGTTCTTTAATTAATTATTAACCTATTGACTAAGGTGTGGCCATTCTCCAACCTGCATACTAAGGGATGAGCACGTCGAATTTAAAATTTGAACAACAAGCCACGTACAAATTTTAATTTCTTTGCATTGATCATTTTAGAATGGTATTTGAAGAAACAAGTTGCAAACAGATAAAGATACTGTTAGATTTAGATTTGTTTTTCCGAACAAGAGATGCATAACCCGTGCAAAACATTGTTGAGTTGTAAGTATGTGGTGTCTGTCTGTCAGTGTTTTTCTATTCTAGAACTGAATCTAAAAATAACTCCATCAGTCAGATTCGTTCTCTTCGATGTTCGAGCAGTTCTAAAATCAATCACAGTCCTCTGCTCTAAAATATTACACTTTCAGTTATACATGTACCTAAATACAGCTAAGCTTACGCATATCGCACACAATTGATTACTTATTATTTTGCTAAATACATTAGTTTCGCATATATTATTTGTGGAAAATTATGTCTAAAACCAAGCTTGATATTACAGTAAACTATTTAACCCTATGTGTCCTCATTAGTTGCATCAACCTGATACATGTCAATGGGGGTAAAGCTAATAAATCAAAAGGTAATCGGGATGGAAGTGCAGATTCGGCGACAATTTCAGACAATGATGAGGAAATCTTGTCACAAAATTACCAAGGAGTAGTATTCATTTATCCACAAGGGGTCAGTGTAACTTTATATTAGGTTATTAGAAGCAGAAATATTTAATAGGAAGACAATTCCAATAACAATGAGCAGATAAGAAGTGAACGAGACATCCCTGTATGTACAAAGTGGATCTCAAAGCAGCCTTCAGGAGATCATCATGAGACGGACACCACAGAAGAAATGCAGGGAGATATGGGCGTTGAAGTTGGAGTCTCTGGAGATTTTGGATTTTCCAACAAAACAATTACAAATCAAGACATTCTGGTGACGAGACGGGATTCGACGGATGACCAAGACCAAGGGGTTCGATGGGAGTCAGCCTGCAATCTTATTCACAAGCGGTACTTTTACCCACCAGTTGTAGAAAGACTTTGCAGGTATTCATCGCAAATTAATCAAACAAATTCACCTGCTACATATGTAACATTCTCATAATCTGTTTCTATTGCTTCCTATTCATTTATTTGTGAAGGTGCCCTGAAAGGACAGAATGTCCATGGGAGTGGAGCCACCCTCCAAGTTATCCTAACGCACCACAAAATGTTAATTCGACAACACAACAACATCGAGGACCCAGGGATCCGTTTACCATTATGTTAAGCAGCAGATCTCAGGCAAAGGTATCAACCTAACAACCCTGCAATAAGTCCGTTCTTAATACATTATCATGTGACAATTTGTACTATTTACGTAAATTAACAAAGCAGCATCTTATTAGTTCTGCACTGAAGTAACATCAGCACTTCCAAAGTGTCATCATCAGAAAATATCACGCCCTAACATGTCACAAAGTCCGTCCAAAATACCAAATTTGGTTAAAACACTGAGAAAAGTTGGTGGTGTGGACGAAGCGCCGAGGGTCACCTTAAACTGCTTTTGTCCGCCTTTGTACCGTCAATGGAATTATATCGGACAAACTGAACCCACTGGATTTGGCAACGGCACGACGGAGACTAATTATTACTACAAGTGTGACAGAGTGAGAAATTTACCATTTTTCAAACCACTCAAAATAATGCGAACTTGTACGATAACAGCAAATGGAAATTATATAAAAATGATTTCAGCTCCCAAGATGTCGCACAAATAACAGGTGTGGAAATATAAGGACCGATCTCCACTTCAGCTTCTATCACTGCACATGTCCTCGCAACCATTTGTGCTTGCCCAAGGTATACCCACCCGAGACCAAGAACGACGTTGAGGAAGATATCAACGAAGTTTTATTTAGGGGACAAATCTCACCCGCATTTTGTATGCCATTTACGCCATAAACTATAATAAATACAATAATATTTTTAAAATCTACCCCATACGACTTTGTAATTTAAAGTTTTAAAATATACATATCTGAATATGCATATATTTATGGATAGAGATCGATACTCCGATGTTGCACAAATAACGATGTCACTATAGGCTTCCTTGTTTAGTTGGAAAGTATTCTTATAAAATGAGTGACATGACTCATGAGGGGGTGTGGCTTCTCCCAATGGTTTCGCCCCTTTGTTACATTTCCTTTGTAACGGCTTATTTATTTCAGACTACAACATACTACAAACCACAAGATTTCAAAAGAATCATGTAAGTGGACCATGCCATAAAACTTCCACCCGCTGCAAGTTTTATTCAATTCACTCATAATAATTTCTACCTCCTCAACCTCCACAAAACCTCCGCAAATTTCCATTCCATCCATTCTTCCCGTAAATTTGTGTTCACTCACATGAGCACGATATCGTAAAATATAACGCCAAGAATTTTCGGCCCCAGTCACCAATGACGAAGTTTGTTTTAGAAAAAATTCATTTTGTCTCAACATGCACAGAATCACGATTGCTTGACTTTAAGTATCTAGGTAACGTTAGTCTCCCTTAACGGTTGCGACAAATGGTCGAGTTACAAATAAAAAATTCATTTTAAAATCGTTGGTTCAAAAAGGGCTCCAACTACTTTGACCCTTAATAACTTTTGAATGGGCAGACATAGAGACTTAATTCTCAAAGATGAAATCATCGTAATTTTTTGATTGATTTTTTAAGCTAAAAATCTCGAGAGTACTATTTCGAAAATTAAACTTGAAATCTCCAGTGAGCCCGAGTCAGACTCTGTGGTTGTCGGTCAAACCAACCATTTTCCATGAAATTGTAATGTACCAAATGCATTTAAACTTGTGGAGTGACATATTTTTGAAAAATCTGTATGGATCAAGCCCTACGGTCTCACCCGTTCTGAAAATTTCAGCTAAATCGGTTCAGCCATTTTGGCTATCGTGTTCCGGAAGGACATGATGGTTCCATAAGAACTGACTTAGGCTAAAAAGGCAACAATTTTGCAGAGCCTTGTAAGATGGCATTATTCTGAGAGCAGGACTCGTAATGAACGATGTGCATATAATTTTGTGATTTATTTTTGGTATATAAACCATTACAAAACACGAACTTAATAAACTCGGAAAATTTTTCATATTTTAATTTATATTGCTACGATTAGTTTTACGACAGTTATCGCAAGACGGACAGACGGACATAACGGGTACATAAGCCCTGATTCAGGCTAAAAACCTATATTTAGTTAAAATTTTCACCAATGCATAATACGCATTGTTTATTTGACAAAAAACAGGCGTAAAGTGCATTAGTAAAATGTATTTGGTACAATAAAATTCTATGCAAAATGGTCGGTTTGACCGATAACAGCGAGCTTGACTCGGGCTGCACACTGGAGATTTCAAGTTCAATCTTCGAAATAGTACCCTCGAAATTAGCTTAAAATTTTTAGCTTAAAAAATCAAGCTAAAAATTACGATGATTTCATCTTTAAGAATTAAGTCTCTATGTCTGCCCGTTCAAAAGTTATTAAAGGTCAAAGTAGTTGGTGTATTTGTAAGGGACTTTTACACCAACTATTTTAAAAATAATTATTTTATTTGTAACTCGACCATTTGTCGCAACCGTTAAGGGTAACTAGGCACTAAAAGTCAAGCAATCGTGGCACAGAATGATAAAGCGTCAGAAATATTATTGTCTGCATATCTAAAAAGATGTAAATATACATAAATAAACGCAATCCATTAAAAAAATTGCACTGGGCATGCTATGTAGTAAATTGACAAGTGGGCAATGAGTGTCAATCAGTGTAGTACGGCCATGGGTGATGACGATGTATCCTCAGGGTCTATCAACATAACCGATTGTCTCAATCAAATCCTAGATTTCTCAGAAGCGCAACTGACCTGCTCCATCTGCAGTGACTTGATGGATAATGTATGTATACGCAAATATTTAAAGAAAAATCCTGATGAGGAACCAATTTTATTTTATCCCTGTATCGCCATAGCCCGTGGCAGTGGCCTGCGGTCACATATTCTGCTCCATTTGCATCGAGGACTGGTTTGAATCAATATTGAATTTAAAAATAATTACATTATTACAAGTATCAAACATTAGGTTTCAAACGAAGGAAAATTGTCCGAGCTGCAGAGAAGCTTGTCCGGGTGGGGAGCATTCCGAGGGCGTTGTCGCAATCGGCGAATATCTCCGCTACCTAAAACCGCTGATCATCTCCAGGGACAAGGAGCAGTATCGCAGTGTTCGGAGATCTCTCAGTGCAGTGATTGCTCCAACAGAACGCATGGAGGAACAACCTGGTGCTGAAGCCTCGATAAAGTTTGAGAAAAAACGAGCTGCAACAATGGAGAACTTTATGAGGGAGCGTCTTTTGAGTATAAAAACCGAATCGGAATACTGTTCACTTGAAGTTGCTCTCATCCTTGTGAAATGTGCATTGGCCAAGCAAGATGTGGACCAGGAGGAATTTCTCACAGATATCCAAAAGTTTTCAAAATTTCCACAAATGGTAATCGAGAAATACATGAGTCACCCCATTATGACAGACATTGATCATCAGTATGCTCCAAAGGTTAGCTTGGATAGACCTGCTGAAATATATGTATCTACTAATATACAAACATGAATATGCATTTTATATCAAGTTTACTATTATACTAATTCACGTACACCTTTTTATATATTTAGATCCGGAAAAAGAAATTCGTTTTGGAATGGCCAACTTCTCGTTCGTGGATACAAATCTTGACCGTTTTGTTCTTAGGGGTTGTGAGTTACTTTACACTGGAGGGTTTGGAGGAGGAAGGATTCAATTTGCTGTCCGAATCGTTGCTGAGAGCCATCTCCCTTCTTAATGTGTACATTGACCTTGTACGCTACTTCCAATAAATTATTAAGTATGAAAATAATCATTTAACGTCAATAGATAACCATGTGTTCAAATGCATATTCAACGACGATATACCAGTTTTTTGTAGTTACATTCAGTTTTTATTATGCATTAAAATCTGTAAGTTATGCAACAGACAACAATGACATCCATTATAGAAGATGAAAATAGAATTCAATCAAGTAATCAGTCTCAATGAAATAAGTTAATTATGTTAAGCAAACTCAACCACTCTAAAAAAATGTAATACGATAATATTATCATTCTTAATAACGATCGATTCTTCAGCTTCTTCTGTTCAGCACACATGCCAATATTGTGTGAGGGGTATTAATTTCTCAGCCCATACGATTATACAAAATTACTCCAGTATCGAACATAGAGGACCTCCCAAAATATATACATGCTGAGAAACATTAATATACATCTGTAAAATTATTAACTTGTAAAAAGATTGCATGTGATACTATACTAGGTACAAAAATATCATCATTGTATTATAATCCAACTCTGTAATTTGATTCGTTTCATTAATTTTATGTATCACCGATCGAAAAATTTTGGCATAAAAGCCTTTAGTCCACCTTTTCTTCCTTTCTTTACTTGACCCTCTAGCAATGCAGACGCAGGGATAGCAGAAGAATCATTTGATGAAATAGATGCCGGACGATGTCCATTATTAAAGATCCCCGTCAAGCCACCACTGCTAGTTTGGGATAACGAGCCACTCTGGGTGCTTCCAGTTGAAGCAGACGATTCCGTAGATCCACTTCGGTGGTACGGTGTCGATATAGAAGGGGGCACACTAACAGTGTTACCGGAAAGTGTAGGAAAGTATCTTTCTCTACTACTAGAAAAACTTGGAGAAGGTGAGTGTGATTCTCGGGTGGGTGAAGCTAGAAGGGCAAACCGAGTGGAGGTAGAAATTATTGGATCCTGAACAAAGGCGGAGGAGGATATTTTTGGTTGCAGTGTAAAGTCGTCATCTTTTCTTGCTAATGAAGTTGAAAGTGTTGTTTTTGCTTGTTGTAGAGTCTGAGGCCTGAGTTGCAATGTAGGGGAATTTGAATTTGAGTTGGTTAAACTTCGACTTTTTGGTAGATTTAAGTTGGAGGTAACTATTGATTCTGAAAATTGTGGGTCAACATTTTCCTTTGGTTTAGTAATAGTAGTTGTGGTCTTAGGAACATCAAAGAATCCGTTATCACCGGAACGAGATTTTGGCATTTTAAATGTAAACTCGGGATTAATTTTGTCTAAAGTTTTTATTCCAGTTGTTTGAAGCGGGACACTTGATGTGATAGGAGGAAGAGGAAGTTTGGAATCTGTAACTTGTAGGCCAGTTTTTGCGTTTGCGAGTTGTTTTTTAATCCTCTTTTCTTTCCTTCGTTTGGCCTTTTCGCTTGGCACAGTGTCCGAGTTTGATCTTTTCCGCATGACTAGTACTCGAGTAGCTTCAGCAGAAGAATCCATGCTGTCAACATTGCGACTATGAAGTGGTTGCATACAAGATGCCGTTGATAACAAAGGATCCGATTCTCGCCGTTTCTCGTGATACAAAAGCACGTCTGTCAAAGTCTGTCTTCGAGATGACACCGAGGGAGTCATCATCTGATCTATAGTTTGCTGCTGAAGATTTGCGAATTTCTTTTTTCCCCAGACTATTGCACCAATAATCAGCATAGTTTGAGACAGGCAAATAATGACAAGCAAACTCCGTTGAAGCTGGACATTAAACAACCGTTCTCGTACATCATCCAGATTTCGTCTTAAGCTTTGTGACTCTTGTCTATAAAATTCGTCCAGCTGAAACATTTTGACGCGAGTCTCGTTCATAGTCTTTCTATTTGATTCAGCAAGTATTGCATTATCTTCGTTCTGTTTCTTGAATCGCTTTGACAATTCTTCCAAATATGAAGCCGTTAAGCTTTGATTTCTTTCTAAATTTTTGATGCGATTAGTAAGTCGTACAAATACAGATTCCTTTTGCTGGGGTTGGCCTTGTTGCATGGACGCAATGTCTTCAGGAGACACTGGAGCAGGAGGTTGTATTTGAGTTTCTTGTTGTTGTTGTTGCTGCTGCTGCTGCAGGTGGGGTTGTTGAGGTGGTGATCCGCTATTCAAGTTTGCCCCAGAACCAGTGGGTAACGTTGATGGAATATATCCAGATGCTTGTACCGGCGGTGCATCTAATTGTTGCACCACGGGAGGCTGTGTTGTATCTTGAACCGTGTCAGTTGTCGGTTTGGGCAGCCCCGACGGTTCCTCTAGTGTTTCGTGTCCAGACGAAGTCGTTGGTGGAATTTGGGGTTGATGTTCTGCAAGAAGTACATATTAGTCGTATACTTTTATAATTTAATTTAATCATTATAAACCTAAAATTAAAATCTTATAGTTAGGAAAAACTTACCAACTTGAACTGTAAATCCGCCAATTGTATTGTTTTCAGCGACAAAACTTTCATTGATATATTCGGAAACGTTGTCTTGATGGAATGTGTTATTATTCATTGCTAAACAGGTTGGATCACATCCATCCGTCATAGGTTTTAAGTAGTGGCAGAGAGCGATAAGAACACTCGGCCCCCCAAAAAGACTTGCATAAAATCCTTCTGGCTGCCAGGGTAAGCCAATGCTCCTAGTTTCGAACGTGGCATGGCAATAGTCCCATCCACACCAGGGAGAATTGGCAGCCAGAAATGGGAGAAGGATAGAGGAATTACATGAGAGCAATCTGTAAATGTCATGGGTCAAATGGCTGTGAGGGACACATTGCAAAATCGAACGGCACTGCGATTTTAAAAGTGAAAGTTGGTCTGTTTCGCCGTTTGCTTCCGAGTTAGAAGAGCTAAAGCCTGTGGTAAAACAACAATGAAAACAACTAGTTAGTTGATGGAATTGAGTTATTTACTACGTTTACTGAACTGCAAGTTCATCCTTTGGCTTTTCGTGCCGCTAAATTGCTCACCTCGTCGCACAATTGATTGGACAGCTTTATTCAACATATTTAGCACAGCGTCCTTCAATCCTCCAACTTTGCCTCCACTTGCTTCGCCTGTATTCTGTGTTGCTACTTCTTCAATGGGTTCCTCATACAATGCTCCACCTTCTTTACTCTCATCTTCTTGATGTGTTGTTTCGCTCTCAAGTACTTCATACCTGCAGATATGACAAGAAAAATATCATACAACTGTAATTGAGCTATTTCAAAATTATGTACATACTCGCTCTTCCCATTCACACGGATTACACTGATAGGACAATAGTGTTCACTCCCATGATGGCTATGAACGGAGAATTTCACAAATTTGCCAAAAGTAGATGCATTGGTAGCTGGAAGCACAACGGGATGAATAGCTCGTGCATCGGGAAGAGTGAAGGGGCCCAACTTGACCCAATCTCTTGTTGGGTATCTATCACTAATTCCAAATTCGACTTCCTTTGGCGAAGATGAAAACAATTCCAAGTTTCCAATTGAGATTCTTTCTATGGTTAGAGGTTCGCACAGTTCGACCACAAACCATATAGTTGTCCCACACCTAGATATTAATATTCGTCAACATATGAATAGAATGTTAACAGAAAAAGTTCAAGCAGCGTAAAAGTGTTGAGATTTGGTTGGAGGTATATTTTTTAAATAACATTACTTATTTAACATGTATTCGTCATGACTGGAACTTAGAACGCCACTGGGGTTCTGTGACTCTGCATTAGATTGTACAACTTTTGCGCCGCAATCCGGTGATGCAAAATTTTTCGCGTCTACTCCAGTTGCTGAAGTGACTGAACCATTCTTCCCACCATTTTGGCCATGTCCATTTTGAGCTTGATGATGACTCCCTTGTCCACCTCCACCGGCGACACCAGAATGACCATTTTGACCTATGCATACCATCAGAAAATAATATTAATATAAAACGACGCATAATAAGTTCTTTATTTTACAGATATTAACATTGAGACTTGGTACAGAGCTAATCAGGAAAATGCTACCTGCCGAATTAGACTTCAGTTCCATCTGCTTTTTCTGTGCCCATTCCATGTAAGATGGAATAGGCTCATCTTCGTCGCCCCTTTTCTGTGTATCAAGTACCACAGGTCCTGGCGGCGGCGAGTGTTTTTCTGTTTGAGATCCGTGAGTATCGTCATTAGTTTTATTTCCCTCCCCTCCTTCAACTTCTCCCTGTATCACATTTTGGTTTTGACTACTAACTGCAGAGTCTGCAGAATCGATTTCGTTGGGTGCTGATGGTTTGCCATCATCTGCCACTGGTTTTTGCTCTGACTGCAAACTTTGAGTTGTTTTAAATGGTGGTGAAATATTAGGAAAATCATTGTTGGTTTGGTCTACATAAACTTTGGTTGCATCTTGTATTGCTGGGTTTTCAACTACGGACGACGGTGGCGGTATTATTGGCGATGGGTGGTCATTGTTCAGAGTATTCTGGTGATTATTAGAAATCACGTTCGATTCTTCTTGAACAACTGGTGGTGATGGTTCAATAAATTCCTCATTTGCCAGTGATAAAGAGAAGGGTGGGTAAAATATGGGGAATTGGTGCCTAGTCTCCCGACAAAAAGCAAGCCTGCATTGAAGTTAAAATATAAATATGACAAATTAGCAACCTAATTTATTGAGCAAAAAAAACATTGTGCTTAAAACTCACAGTACAACCAGAAGTGATAAAATCTTCATAATCGTACGACGCCGCAAGCGAAGGAGACGAAATAGTTTTCTCCTCTTCGTGTCCTCATGTGTTTTTCCTTAAACTGCTTTTGAACACTAGAAAAAATACAGATCAAAAGAAACAAATGTCAGTCAAGTGACGCTTTACTGGTGCCATTGTTGTTTAATGTATAACAGTAGAAACAACATGCAACAATTTATACATCACAAATAAATACTCAAACCCCGAATGAAAATTACCACCATGAGAAATCCAGCATATTTATTAATAGTTTATGCAGTATAGCAAATTTTACTTCAGGTAATGAAGTAAACACTAAAATAATAACTTCCTTATCAGGGCCACATGCTGCACACTTTCACATTCTCACAGACTGGAATGTCCAACGTGTCAACTCACATAGTTTGTTTTATCACGACACAGTTTTAGCTAACTAACTAAACTTTTTAGCATAACTAAAAATAACCCGATAACCTCTGAACTACTTCGTCACTGGATAAGCACGACAGCTTGCAAAAGAAATACAATATTTATAATTCATTCATTCAACTCCAACTTTGTAAGCAACAAACAACAAACAACTGCATTGAAAATATTCTTCACCTTCACCTCAAAAAATGTTAGATGAATATTGAGCTATGGACCTTGGGTCTGGCTTTATCACTTATCCCAAACAACTTTTGTCGTTCAACAAATTAAAGAAGGCGTACAACTATGAACTGTGGATTACGATGATTAATCCAGCAAGATATTAGTACACGTTCAATATGCCCTTCTTATTCAACTACACGTTTTATAATGTGAACAAAATTAAGCCGTCAATAAAATATGTTTGTGTATTATGAATAATAATTGCTAGTAAATGTTTTTTGTATCTTTAATCTTTATAAATTGTAAGTTATAATTTCTATGCAATAAGTTATTGCCTAAAGACGAAGTCATCGCACTGTTATGATGATATTGGGATTGAAGAAGAGAAATGTGCGCGCTGCTGCTTGGTCGACGTGGATTTGTGGCCATATAATACTGGGCATTACTTATATTGACGGCAGTGTAAAGCGTCATTCGGCTATTCATTCGATCAAATGGAAAAGTTTTATGAAGGATAATGCATGCTTAATTAAATTAGTTGTAGTGCATGCTGGCGGTGGTGGTCCAATCAGTAATCTATTAGCCCTATAATATTTCCCATGTTTTTTATCACTCGAGGAGGATTTCACGGAATTGGGACGCAGTACGGATAATTACTGCGGATTCAATAAATGGTTCTTGCAATGTACAAGCGGATTATATATTACAATGCTTAAATGAATGGATATCATGTCACTAATTATTATGCAGATTTTATTGTAGGATAGGCTCTCGAAACAAATCAAGCAAGAAGAGATATGTAAGTACCTATACTCAATAATAACGAAGAGATTTTAGCATGAGATTATCCACCAAGTTATGTACAAAGTTTTCACTTGTATTTATAGCACAAATTTTATGCAGATAAGCATACAAAGTAAATGCTAAAAAGTACAGCTCAATTCTCAAGATTGTGATTTAGCGTATTAAGACCGTAATTTACAATACATGCGGCTTTGCACCAAAAAATTTCCTATCGGTCTTGCTTCCTAAAATTTTTGCCAGTTTAGCACCATATGCTTTACAATCTCAAGCGAAATCACTATTGTGCAATTTGCATGGATTGGGCTGAAATCCTGCTGTAGAAACTTCGGGCATTGGCCTCGAACATGTATTTTGACATTAGCTGTGGTCACCAGACCGGAAATAGTCATTTCTTCGTAAGATGCAATGGAGGTGGTATATATGTTTTTGTACGATATTTACAAAACAAGAGATAAAATCTCCTTCTTATCTCGTTGCTAATATTACTTTATCCAGACATGTTCCCAATTTTAATTTCAAAATTACACAGAAAGATTCACAAAGCAAAAACGAAGATTTGGCTCATGTGCATCTTGACTTGTACAGTTGCCCTTGTGGTTTCATATTTCATTCTTCAAAAAATATTATTCAGTCAAAAATTGGAGAATTCTAATGATATCCCAAAATCTCCATTAATTCGCAAAAATTCTGAAGTTAGTGAAAGAATTTTGTGCTACGTCCCACTGGTGAGGGAAAAGCTTCGAGTGGCCAAAGTGATTAAGGAGACGTGGGGATCAAATTGTGACGAATTGGTGTTTTATGGAGACACTGACAATTCAGAGTTGAATATTAAAAATATCAATGTCACTGAAAAGTACGAGTTGTTGTGGGGAAAGACAAAGGCAATTTTGGTTCACCTGCACAATAATTACGCAAATGTACGTACATACATCAAAATTGCGCATATGTATAATATTATAGCACTTTTATTCTATAATTATATTCTTCTGAAATGTCCACATAATTCCGCTTATACGCAATTTGCAATTACTTATGCTCTTATTTATATTTTGTAGGGATTTGATTGGTTTATTAAAGCTGACGACGACACATTCGTAATACTCGAAAATTTAAGACAATTTGTCTATAAATTAAAACCAAGCGAGAAGGATCTTCCTTTGTGGTTTGGATTTAAAATGAAACACCAAAAAATGAAAAACGTGAGTGAACTCAAATATTGTCAAACAATTAGTGCATATATAATATTTATAGTACGATTAATTATCGATTTGTATGTGTAATTTTGGATTATAATACTGAAGGGATACATGTCTGGTGGAGCGGGTTATGTAATGAACGAGAAAGCCCTGTCCAAATTTGCATTGTTTGTTGAGAAGCATAAGGACAAAGACTTTGTTCAGTATGAACCAAGCAAAATGGAACGTCCTGAGGGGTGCAAAACTACCACGAATGAAGGTATTGAGGATCTTGAACTAGGTGGGCAAAATATTTTCATTAAGAAAATTCAAAAGCAGAAATTCATCAACAAAAGTATATCTTTATTATGCAGGACGATGTTTCCATTCTCTCGGAATCGGTGATATACCAACGCATGATCACTTGGGAAGACATAGGTTTCTACCAATTTCATTGCTAGCAATGATGTCGGGCAATGTTGACTCTGGTCATTGGATATGGTCTCAGTCCTGGCATCCAATTAAATTGGTAAAATATCATTATATTCTACCACTAATAAGACAGTATTATTTAGCAATAAATGCAGATACGTTTCAGCTATATTACATGCCAGGTTTTGTAATATCAATGTCCAAATTTTAGGGAAAGAATTGTTGCAGTCGATCCTTGATTGCAATGCATGACGTACCAAGCATTCAGCTCAAATTGTTAAATTTTTTACTGTATAAATTAAAAACGTAAACCCGGAATTATCTTAATTTTGTGCTCGCCAGCATTAAGAATTTCAAAATAAATCTAGGGGCTAGGGAAGGGAATAGCCCGTTTGATTTCTGATTTTGTTGGAATTAAATGCATCGAATAATTTTTCTAAAGATTATCCGGTGCATTACTTACCTAGATTATTTAAGCATTATGCCCGTAAATAGCAAATTTCAACTGCACGTGTGTATACATATGTACATAAATTGCATTTATTAAACAATTGCATCCTCAAATCGTTGTGATTATTATACATAAGTCGTAATTTGTATCTTCCACTTTTTCAAAGCAATTAAACTTAAAGGATATATTTAGAAAATCCGGGGATGTGCACTTCTAAAGTATCCAGCCATTTTGATCGATTTCCAAGAACGCTAACTTTTGTCAATGTCTTCGCCGCAATCCATGGCTTTACGAGGGAAAATGCATAAGGGAAAACCCATGGTGCTGAAACATAAACAATGTTTTCCGTTTAAATAACCGACTAGAATTATGTGTGTATCTACATACGAATCAGGGTGATAAGTTCGAAATGAAATTACTATTAATAATAAACGCAGATTTCAAGCGTTCTGGATAATTATCTTCATAGTCCTGGAATATTTGCGTCACCACATTAATTGCTACATGGGTGAAAAAGAATGAGTATGTACATAAACTTTCAATTACACATGTCTACACAATTACATATGTCACATAAATTGTCTTACTGTCCATGTGTGCAACTTTGTAGAATGAGAGTTCAGCCAGGTCGACGACGAGGACGAATTGTTGGCGTCTCGTGCTCTGTCTAACGGCGGCCATAATGACTCCTTCCAATAAGTAGAACCTCCCTTCCAACGTGGCGTCCAAGTACCCATCTTTTAAACGGTCTCGAATATTCCAACGTCCGAGAGGGACATAAATCACTGAAATTCATTCGACAATTCAACCCATGTTCACTGCGAGTATTAAATAATATCACCAAGCATTAACCGTGTACATGTGTTTACCTGGATAACCCTGACAGTCGGTTCCGAGAACATGACAAATGTAGTCATCAGCTAATACTTGAGGAAGAGTGAATCCTGCCCTGTAACTTCTCACGTCGTTCTCTTGGAACCATTTTGCAGACTACGAATGTGCAAATTTAATTAATTTTCCAATTCAGTTTTTTCACACCTGGAGCTGGAGCAAATAAAGCCATTTGTTCAACTACCTTCCGCAACATTACTTCAGCCTTTTCAATGTCACATTCTCGTGCTAGCAATAGAAATGTATTATTCAGAGACGGAAATTTTTTACATGCAATATTGCAAACTCTCAATACTCTCAAAATCTGTATTGCAAAGAACAGTTTGCATAAAATATCTCAGCTTACCTCTTAGAAATCTAATAAGCGTTTCAGAGTTCCTCATCTCCTCGTTAAGATCATAAACTCGTTTTGCAAACTAAATAAGTGAGAGTTATAATATATTTGCACACATTTATTTAAAGCAAAGTTAGAATCTGTATTAACCAGTTACTAGTAAATTCAAGTTATTATGCATTTTCTCACCTCCTGCATTAATGCTTCTTCTTCCAAAGTTATCTCCATTGCAGAACACAGATCTCCTCCTCCTCGTGCCCAATTATTGTTGGACTTATTTTCTTCCATTTCTAATTCGTAGTTATTGATAGTGATCAAGTATAAGTTGGGAAAATGTTAACCTTTAACTGACTGATTGATGAGTATTTTAGTACTACAGCGTGGATTCATACACCGCGTACTCAAGACGTTCTTCTGGTTTTGAGTCTTTGGTTCTTTGATTCTTTGGTTCTTTGTTTCTTTGGTTCTGGTTCAAAGTTGAAATGGAAATGATGAATAAACGCCGTTACTTTCACGTTGAGTCGTGGAAAAATACGAAAGTATTTTTACTTTTGTCCCGACCCTTTTCTTCTCCAAGTGCAAACCTACTTACTAAAGGATAAAGGGCCCTTCTTTTTGTGACGCCAGCCAGACCAAGGTTTTCAAGCGAATGAGGAAAAGACATGAGTTTAACAATTTTACATTTTATGAATCTGCAGCAGCTACAACTTGATTTAATGTCAATAAAACGCACAAAAAGTATCCTGGGATTCAGCTGAATTGATAATTGAATATTTGGTAGTGCAACTACGTACAGGTACTCTTGTGACTAGTAGTGCACATTTTTTTGGCAATGGTAATAAGCAGCGTCAATTGGAGACCATGAATCACGTTGAGATACCAAACTAAGACTGGGATGCCTCTTGCATAGTCTAAATCATAACAAAGGATTTCTTAAAACTATTTAACTACCACTATGCGTTATTGACGGTAGTTTGTTACCACTGTCAATGTTATTTTGCACAACAACAGCGTCGTAATTGACGAGAGCATAGAGTCAATCAAAGTCTTGGATTGAGGACGTGCATATTTGCATGGTTTGACTTTTTGCAACTATAAACCAGAATTTACTTCTGAAAAGTGTGAAGGGTAGTGGATTGAAAGGGTACCTCGTCAAAGCCATATTTCTACTTTACACAAGTGTATTATTATCGTATCGCATCCACATATCTGCATATGCTCCACGGGAGATCTGCTGGACATGATCTGGACGTGAAACAAACTGATCGAACAATGTATGCACATGTACGCACGCATTATGCTTTGAGTTCTTGCGAATCAAGATGAGTAAGTATTTAGTATTCACTTTGGATTTCTTTCTCGAGTCATTCATAGAAAGACGGAAAATCCCATTAGGTAATCTTCTGTAGACTTGCATAAAGCAACAATTAGTTAAAATCCCATGTTTATTTCTTACAGTAATGGTCTCATAAAATGTTATGTTAACTACAAATCTAATAATCTAATGATGATTAACTAAAGTACATATATAATTGTAGTGGTCCCCATGAGACGTTAAATAGAACAGTTGCATAGGTATAACCGTAAGCAAGATCAGTGAGCTATGATGTCGTCGAAACGCATTCATTATGCGATTAAAAGTTTTTTATTGAGATATAAATTATGTGTCTCACACAGCTCCCATGCTTAAAAGGTTGTCAAATTTGGTAATATATACACTGTAAAAATATTTCTTGGTCTTAGAATTAGATGAGAACTTTCTGATTATCATCGGCCAGCGGACTCTTATAGCATGCTGTAAACTTCACTAAAATTATACTCCTCATTGTTGTCTTCATCCTACCTACATGCTGGTTGCATTTTGGAAAAAATAGAAACTTGCAATGTGCTCGAGGTATAGATACATAGTTTGAGATGGTTCTACTCGTATATTAACTTCAAGTAGCTTCAAGTATTAAAAGTTTGCAGCCGACTTTTAATATTACACACCAAACAAAATTATTATTTATTTCTAGACAGGTGCATCAATATGTTCGTGCCTTGCAGAATCTCACCGAAATGCCAAGAATTTGCATCATTAGAGAAACTTGTCGCATTCATGCTTTGCAAGCTCTTTGACTTTATCTAATAATAGTAAAATACTTGTAAAATGTATCTGGCATACATACATATATTTTAATAACAGTGTTGCAAATAGATAATAATGACCTCTTATTTTATCAATAATTCACCAATAATTTACATGTCTAAAATTTATAATAGTGGGATAAAGTTGGTCGCATTGTAATTGTTTTTGTTGTTTATCGGCTTAATTAAACAAATAAATATGTGGGCGACGTGGTTGTTGAGTGATAATATAAAACAGACTTCTATAAACCAGAGAAAACTGGCCGAGGAGACACAAAAGTTATGATTTTCCACGAGATAAGTGTTAGCGTCGGTGTTCGGTGGGTTAGGACAAGTGCCAAAAGAATGAAAAGACATCGTGTTTACTATGCATGTCTCTCAACTCCATAATGAATCTAGAGTTAAAGTGTTATGTTGTGTAAATTTAGTGTAATTGGATCTAAATATTGTCTCATTAGGACAGGAAGCAAAACATTGTGTGAAATATTAGAACAGAATTTAATGTAAAAAAGCAACGCTTCCAATGGAGGAGGATGTATCGAGTATAAACGCACATAAAAATGATACTCATTGCATGAGATAAAAGCACCCGTCTGCAATTAGCTTTTCTCTATGAAACAACAAGGTCGGGCTTTACATTCGATTGAAATAGGTTGCTTTGAACTCCTCCAAGTCACTCCTCTAATCCGAATGCTTATCTTTTCGGTTTTCGGTGGTGTCGGGTTGAGCAATCTTCAAACTCTGCCAATCAACGTCACTTCACTCTTTAGTTCTAATTGGAGCACCCACCTCAATCACCATTAGTAAACTATTAATAAATTACAGAGTTTTCTCATTCATTGCTCGCTTGCCTTTTCACCAAAGTAAGTACACACTAATAATTGATATTGACACATTTGGTACGTTCTTCTCGATCACCCCAAATAAAATTGGTTTCGGGGAATATATATTTTCAGTTGGAATTATCATCCAACGATTGAGAGTAAGTCAATATTATGTCCGAGATCCAGGAAATTTTACAGGTACTCGTGATACTGTGTTCATCTAAAGATCTAAAATACCCAACTATAATTAGTGCACATAGCATACGAGAGACATATTTACATTATGTATCTAAGTGTCAATCTCTGAACAGGAGAATGGTATCAAGATTCTTCGCAGTGCTGAATTCGGACGCTACTTGGTGGCGGATAGGGACGTCGAACCATTGAGTCTCATCTTAAGGGAGGCTCCGATAATTTATGGTCCAGGGGATGATGACCAAGAAGTGCATCTTGGAGAATTCCCAATGTGCCTTGGGTGCTGCGTCAGACTTGTTAAAGGACAACGATGTGATTTGTGCGGTTGGCCAATTTGCGGAAACAGGTGTCAACAGGTGGGTGAGACAAACATTTATGCGTACTTAATATAGATACATATTATCCAGTTCATACACCCCAATTCAGTAGATTTTTCCTTATTTGATCTCTTGGGCATTCAACACGAATTATTTATTACCAGATGAAAATTCATGCTCAGTATGAATGTGACCTATTCCGGAAAGGAAACGTGACCTATCCACCTCCACACACTTGGCTCGTTATAAATAAAAGCGTGCTAGTTCTTCGATGTCTCCTTCTCAAACAAACTGGTCAAACAGACACTTGGGGAAAAAATGTTGACGCCTTGGAGCATCACACCCAAATCCGCTACAAGAAATCTTACTGCATCAAGGGAGACGAGATGCTGTTGGAAAATTTGAAGTATTTTCTCGGGCCTCTTAAAGATGATCTCAGGAGAGAAATTGTGAAAATTAGTGGGATCATTAATGTCAATGCCTTCAGTACTACCTCCAACTCAAATAATCGGAATAATGTGATGTAAGGAATTGAAGAGCAAGAAATGAGCCTGAAATTTTGTACATATTTTAGATTTCCTTTTAGGATTGCTCAATGCATTTATGGAACGGCAAGTTTATTTGCAAATAGTTGCATCCCAAATTGCACTTGGAGAGTAGAACCGCCGCCTTCCCTGCAAATCTGTGTGAGATCTGCAGTTCCCATTACGAAGGGGGAAATGATAACCATTTCATACAGTCCACATGACACTTTGTGTGGAACTTTGCAAAGACAAGTTTCGAATGAAGACGTAGCCCATTTCATTTGCACGTGTTCCAGGTGTAAGGATCCTACAGAGTTTGGCACGTTTATTTCTGCCGTCAAGTGTTGTAAGAAACGTACAAGTCATTAAACATTACTCGGCCTTTAGCTTTACATCATTTGTCTAAATTCGTTCTATGTAAATTAAAAGGTAATTGTGGAAATGGAAACAAAGGCGACGAAGGATTTCTTCTTCCACTTGATCCACTTGTACCAGAATCACCTTGGATTTGCAATTCTAAAAGTTGTGACGAATCTCAGTCTGTTCATAAAATTGTCGCACAAACGTATCCAATTCAACAAATGTTTGAAGCTACGAAAAGGTCAGGTTTGGAACGATGCGATGAAATCAAAGAGTTGAAAAATATTTTGGAAGTTGGGAAAAACATTTTTCATCCCAACCACTACACGCTACAAGACATTCGAATGCACATTGTAAAGAGGCAAATCCCAGTTGTGAGCTATTTATCAGGAACAGAGCTCACCTACGTAATACATCAGACAAAGGTGCTGCTAAACATGGCCAATATTTTGGCACCTGGGTTTTCACAAATTAGAGGTATGCAGTCTCATATGAAATTTATTGAAATGTAGTAAAGTATATACTTTTACTACAACAATCGATCAATTAATAAAGCCATTTGCTTCGCATTTTCAGCTCTTCTTCAACATTTCCTTGCTCAAGAGTTACAAGCACTGCAGAAAAAAGACGCTACCCAACCTGATGCGGATAAATCACAGTGTAATTCCATGGTTCAGTGTTTGGAGAGAAATGCCCTATTATTTTTTCAGCATCACAATTTTCATTCTGAAAATGACACGATTATTAAAATTATCCAGGATTCACTGAAAATAGGATAAATATTTATCTTGTTTTTCATACCAGTGTTGAGATGTATGTATGTACATGCATAATTTTATACTCGTGTAATTTTATTACTCTCATTTACATATTTATTTAGCTCAGACCTCATTAAATGTTGAAGTCCTACAATCCGTAACCATTTTGTTAACTTCAATCACAATTTGCTTAGTACAATAATCAAATTGTTCTCTTGATAGGCAAGCATTGTCTGAAACGATCCAGAATCGAAATTGATCTGCATATCGTGTCGTCGCTATTGATAAGCCTATGATAAGGAGAACATCGCATAAATTCAGGCAGATATTTTTGGACTTTGCATCTATACTTAAAATAGATCGCTATTCAAGTATGTATGAGTTCCTATTTAATTATACTCACCATTGTTGACGTACAACAAGGGCCACCCTCCAAGCTCCATCAATTTACTTACTCCGAACAAAGCCCACTCCTCCCTGGACGTGGACATGCTAGTCATCGTCACTTGTTGTATCCCTCCACTAATTCTCAGTGCCAAGTTCACAAGTGGCACGGGAAATCTCCCAAGCCACCGAGGAACGTAAAAGCTGATGAGAGTTCTTTGGTCCATACCTCTTATCTGCGCACTGATAGTTCGCAGCCTTTCCCTCCAACAATCCCCTTGCCCACCCGAGGGGAGGGCAAGCGGGGTGACCGTGAATCGATTCTGGGGTCCAATTCCTCTGTAGGGCAACATTGATCCAATCACGGTGAAAGGAATTGTGCAATCATCTTTCCCCTCACGGGGGAATTGGCGACCCATTTCTTGGAAAGTGGAACTCAGAGCTGTGGCCATGATGGCCGAAATACTCACGTCTCCACCCATCGAATTCTTTATTTCCTTTAGCAAGTTGAAATCCATCTTGCTCGTCCATCCAAAATGCCTTCTGTTTGTGTAAGATTTTACGAAAAAACGACTGTGGGAAAGTTGAAGACACGATTTGATGCCAATGTAGGGCGCAGTGAAGAAGGACACAAATTTTAGTAAGCACAGTTTGTACTTGCCAATGCGCATAGGTTTGAAAGGATTGAAGGGATATGGGGCACCTGAAGCTTCCACCAACTCTTGTCCAGGAGGTCGATTGGACATGCAGAATTTGTGAATCGAGTCCACTGTGACTCCGTCCATTATTCCGTGATGCCCTGCGGAATCATACAAACATAATTACAATTTTTTTTAGATCAACTGATTTTCCATGCATATCTACTAAAAATGTACTTTGTGAAAAAAATGGATTACATCGTAAACATTGAACGGTTACTGGATGGTCTTGGTCTTTAAACATTACACGCATAATAACGTCCTCCCACTGGGGTTTTGCTTCAGTCATGTCTTGTGTCAAATTTGGCACTGTATTTGCATACAATAAATTAAAGTGATATTACTTAAGAGAAAAAGTGGCAAATAAAGATTGAAGTCAGTATTACTTATTGTTGTAAAAAATTCTTCGTCAGTGAAATAATCTCGGTTGTCATTTGGTTTTGATAAATCGTATGCAATGATGTGTTTCTTGAGATCAAATTCCTGAGTGTCATCCCGCTCACAAAAATATCCAAACTTTTTGACCAAAGTTTTCTTTAGCTGGGCGAACGTCTTGGTGCGCCCGTCCGCCTCTGTTCTCTCCAGCACATTCCTGTTGAACTGGTCACGGAGGAAGTCCAAATCAATGGGATCCTTGTAAATCCTAAGTAGCGTCACTATCCTGTAGTTTCCCTCTTTTTTGAAGTGCCACACGTTGTTTTCGCCTTTCGACACCAGCGTTACTTTAGAAGCACCGTACTTAACTTTTAGAAGCAGGGAGACTACAATTCGACATAATTCGTTTATGAGGCTGAGCAATAACGTGAGGGGAGCAAAAATTAGAGCAAGGAGAATAATTATTGCAAACTTAAATGGAAATATTAGAATCGATCCGGCCATATTCAACTTGCCCATTGTCGATGTGTCCATAAAGCTGTGATCAACCAAGTGGAGTTTGACTTTAGTAATAATGATGTTGAATTTTGTATTTTAATGCAACAATACCTCCAGGTAAACGTAAATATTATTACAAATAGTGGGAATTTCTCAAGAAGTTCTCCAGACATATGTAATTCATCCATATCAAGGCAGCATGGCATCATGAAAATACTCATGCATGTATGTATATATGTAACAATTTAAGAAGTTACTGGTCAAATGATGAAAATTTAAACACTGTTCCAATTATTTTGATTAAACCTGAGTTTTCATATTTATATCATACAAATTGTATGCAGTACAAATCTAGTAGTACAAATATTAAGTTGTACATATATATAAGAATTATAGTCCGTGTATCAAAACGTATATGTAGAAGATACAACTGTTGTGTAGTGTATCGAGATAAAAAGTTGCTCTGTGAATAAAGAAATAACCCATATCCTTGTTCCTGATCCTAAATTCTAATATATCCACGTATGTGCGTATATAGTAATTGCTCGTGTACACAAAAAATATGTTTCATGAGAAAATTTCGTTTTCAATGATTTGAGGAGCACCTTTGGCCTTCCTGCCCAATCGTTTTTCAGTTCATCGCATCATTAGACGTACATGCGCGTATTATCAGTTTGACGCGGCTCTAATGCGTGCCTAAGGATAATGAAACCTTTTGGACCTAACGGTTCTGTATTGCCGGCCGGGCAGCCTGTTGTTGCCTTATGAATGCACCTTTTGTCTACATTTAGTCGTTGAGGACCTTGAACTTGTCCGAATTATGTTACCAAGTTCTACTTGCATCTACTAATTTATCTGGGACAAGGTAATCTCCATGCACCGAAACGATCAACATGTATTTCACCCAAGCATAAAAGTTCACGAAGATTACCGAATTATCGAATTATTAAAAACTGTTTTTGACAAAGAATAATCAAGCACTACACCTACTATTAAAAGCTATAAATAGTTTGCAACAACATCCGTAGTGTTGTATAATTATGCGTCCTGCGTCATCAAATTTTACCTCTCTGACAAGAGACATTCTTACACTGAATTCAAGAATATTCAAAACTTACGTGCAAAGATTATTGACGTGATCGTATTAGAATTTAAATTAGAAAGTCGAATAACATGCATGCGTGTGAAGAGACACGAGTATAGTTTTCAAAGCAGGACTCCTAACAAACTCTGTTGGTCAAGGTATATCATCAGAATATTCATATGCATAGCCTTTCGTGTTGACTGTGGTTGTTAGATCTAAGAATGAGGCTCAATTAGCTTCGCTTTACATCATCACTGATGACCCATAATTCAAAAGCATTTACATATGTACGTCATCAAGTTGAGGAGACGGAACAACATTGCAATTCAGTGATATGTTTTTTTTACAATTGTATATACATACAAATCATCAAAGCAAAAACAATGAGATATAACTGTGATATGCCATGCTATTTATTTGTAACCGGAGCTGTGTTTAACTGACTGTTGGAATCCCTTTCTCATTAAATCAATGTTTACAGAGAAAGGACTTGACAACCCGTTATGTTTTTTGTAGTCACAGGGTTGAGTATGTTTAGTCGGACTTGTTTTGGTGGTCGGACTAAATATAGTTTATGTTTCTCTGGTTGGAAATCCCTGGAATGCGCAAGGGTTCGTAAAATGAACGAAACAAAGAGTGGGCAAAGTTTTTAATGAAAGTGGGCAGGCCTGCATTCTCATATAGTTTGAAAAGGATGCGTTTTCATAAGAATAGTCTGCGGCTAGATCTCCTGAGAATATTATTAGTAAGGCAGTAAAGCTGTTGGCCGATATGTACCAGTCTCACGGATGGAAAAGCCACGCAATTACAGCATAAATCATTCTTCCGTCCAACTAACTGACCTGTCTGACCCGTTTTGTTGTCTCGACTTTTATACGCTTAGGACTCTTACCTTAACACCCAGAACTTTTCAGACATTGAATATTTTATTCCATAAGCGAATGAGGCGACTAAATTAAATGATAAATAGCAGAAACTAACAATAAGTACATAAAACTGTAACGTTTCATTTTCATGTGTTAACAAAAGGTTTAGAGACTATCAGGGCAAGGACGCGAAATAAATCCTTTTAAATCCTTTTCTTGATCCCTTTCATGATGAGTTGATTTTGGTTTTAGTTCTAGTCCAAACAAGTTGAACCCTTCGTTGCATTTATCACTTACCAATACTGTGCACTAAATGCATGCCTAGATTCATTCGTGTAAGTTCTAGTAAAGCACTTGCACACCTTCCTTCATTATTGATGATTGTTAGTCCTCCATATACAAATACTTGTACATACGTACCTTAATGACAGCTCAGTTATTTGCCACGAGTAAAAGTTTGTTTGTGTTTAGTCTTATTTTGAAGAGAGGAGACGAAGGTGGGTATTTAACAAAGCTACTGCCAATAACTGCAATTGAACAGTAAACCTTTAAATATTTGGCTAACTCGACGACTTAATCAGGATCTGGCTTGCTACATTGGTGCACATGATCCTCATTCATAAAACGGTTTCACTAGTTCCGTGAAACATGCAAGTATTTGCACTCCATTAGGACAAATGCAGTTTGTTTTTAAATAAGTAAAGTTGAAAGGGAGGCTTAATGATACATATATTTGACTAAATATTTTGTGAAATTGAGTACGTTGCAGCCCATAGCTTAAAGTAATTAGCTTTTGTTTGAAAGTTTGAGAGGTATTTCTTGAAGAATTCTCTGTGAAGCGAGAATGGGAGACGCTTACCGGTAAGAACAAAGGAAAATCTCATTATCAATGTCATAGATTTTTAGCCCGAATCAGGGCTTATGGAACCGTCCCGTCTGCCCGTCTGAGACACGATAGAGCTAAAACGGCTGAACCCATTGAGTTCAAAATATGTACACATTGGATGCAAAGTTAAGGAAATTTACGCCCGAAGATAAACCATATCGGTCCAGTGGTTGACCCCTTGACCAGTGGGGGTCATGTGCAGGGTATTCTGCATCAAAATTTCAAAATAGTGCTACATAAAACCTGAAATTTTGCAGATAGGGCTCTAACGGCTTTTGATGAAAGATTCTGAAGTGAAATTGAAAATTTTTTCAACGAGAGGTACCCTATGCAGTGTCCGCAGTGTCCATACCGATTTTTGATAATGGTAGGGAAAAGGTGAAATTCGGTACGGAGATTGAAGTACACATCAGAACAAAGAATATGATGTCAAATGCTACAATATTTTTTTCCAGAGGGACCCAAAAAATCTGAAATTTCGCATTCTAGATTTATGATCATCGATTATGAATATTATCTGAGGTGTCGATATTATATTACCATTATAAATGTACAGTATAAGAATATAACCCGCATTGTTGTTTTGTTGGCAATAGTAGGTCATAAATACATATGAGAAACATTTGGCAGGGCTTCTCATCCTGATTCGGGCTAAATAAACACTGCACCCTGTAGGTTATTATTAATAATAATTTATTATGCATTTTGGTGTCATGTTTAGGTCCAAAAGCACATTTGATGCAGATCTATTCTGCAGTGTCGCTGGTCATAAGATGACAATTTGTAGGAGTGAAGGTAACAAAGGCGATGATATCGGGGTAGTAAATAGTCTACCAGCTATTGAAGTAAGGAATGCGCACAAATCCTTTGGGAGCAAGATTCACGTTCTACAGAATCTCAACTTGAAAGTTGAGACCGGATCCATGTGAGTTTTTCTTATTTGTCATTCGTTATTCATCCTACTAATTTTGTCATGATGATGCATTAAATCGCTTTCTCTTATTGTCACTTACAAATAAACTGGATATTTTGCTAACTGACCAGTTTTATCGAGTCCCTTGGGTATTTTTCCATGCAAATGGACAAATATGCAGTACTTTTAGTACAATTGCAAAGCTTGTAATAATGATGCACACGTTTATCGATATGCACTAATATCTATTTTTATGTCTGCTATACAGATACAGCTTGTTAGGGTCATCCGGATGCGGTAAGAGATTCAACTTAATACCAATAAAAGTTTAAGTTATCGGCTGGAATTGACTTATTTTTTATTAAAGGGAAAACGACCGTGTTATCCTGCATCGTTGGTCTTCAAAAGTTAGACAGAGGACACATAAACGTGTTTGGAGAACCACCAGGGTCTGGGTGTGGTGTTCCTGGACCCCAAGTTGGATACATGCCTCAAGTGTGTGAGCCATATTTTATTGGAAGAATATAACTGCAGACTATTCCAGACATATTTAAAGTTTTTTGTATTGCTCTCAAGGAAATATCTCTCTACAATGAGTTTAGCATTGAGGAATCTCTCAACTATTACGGGAGGTTGTATGGGATGTCGTCTGCAAATATGAAGGACTCCATGGAGTCCATATTAAGACTGCTGGAGCTGCCTTGTGCGTCTCGTAGAATATGCACGCTCAGGTGCGTAAATGTCCTGATAATTTTCACCAGTTATGCTTTTTCACAATTTTTTTAAGTCACAAATCCTTCCACAAACTTAGTGGCGGGCAAAGACGTCGAGTATCATTTGCAATAGCTGTTATCCATCGTCCGCCCCTCCTAATACTCGATGAGCCCGTAAGTTTATTAATTTAGACGTAAATTTACACAACAGAGTTTGTGACCCGATGATTTAAGTGTTGAGATGTTTTATATAATATTGCATTCATTAATAGACCGTCGGTGTGGATCCTTTATTGAGAGAGAGGTAGGTAAACCGTGCAGGCTAAAACAGTTTGCCAAATTTTGCACTGGAAAATAAAGCGCATTGTCCTTTTCTTACAGTATTTGGTCATTTTTGAGACAACTCGTATCAATGCAAAGGACATCGGTTTTAATTACGACGCATTACATACAAGAGGCAAATTATTCAACGACGATTGGAGTCATGCGCAGTGGTCGGCTTCTTGTCGAAGCTTCTCCTCAAGATCTTATGGCGCAATTCAAGCTCCCATTATTGGAACAAATTGTGTTAACCCTGTGTCAAAATGATGCAAAGTCCACACCTGAGCAATGTCACAAAAATCTGAAAAGAGTTGGAATGAATTCTTCGTGTGAAGACATAGAGAACCCCAAGGAACATCATGTCAGCCTGCAGAAGTACACTCGGGGCATCAACTATTATTCCAATATTTTCAGTATTGGAGGAGGAAAAAGCATGACTCTCAAGGATGGAATGGGGTTTGCCCGAAAATGTGACAAGGAATCAAATTCTAAATCAAGTTGTGACTCGAGCTTACAAGATATCGGGAAGAACAGAGGAGATGCTGATCTTTGTTGCAGGGACGCTGTCTCATCTATTAATCGAATCAAAGCGTTGACCATTAAAAATTTTGTAGTACTACTTCGCAGCGTTTGGTAAATGATTTAAACTTTGCTTTCAGTGACATCTCTATGAAAATAACCACTGACAAATCACCATACATATTTAGGTTCCTTCTGTTCATTTTGTGGTCCCAGCAATTCAAATTGTGTTGATCTGCCTTGCAATCGGTCCGGATCCCAAAAAATTAGGCTTTGGAGTAATTAACGAAGAGATGATTGCCAATGGCTTTCCTACTGACGCGCCATGCGTTCCGAATCCTGGTTGTGGTGTGGCCCTGAGTTGTCGATACTTATCAATGCTGCCAAATGAGTCCTTGCACCTTGTACGAGCAATACAAGAAAATTATTCTTTCAATATATAAAATTCTGATTTAATATTTTCACATTTCTAGAAATCCTACACGAATGTGAGTGACGCATTGGAAGACATTCGAATGGGAACCATATGGGGCTACCTGCAATTTCCTAAAAACTTTTCGGCTTATCTTATTGACCGTGGCGGAAATCCAGCCTTTGCATTAGATGAAACTTACGACGGGAGCAGAATTACGTTTGAAATGGACATGTCAAGTATGCATAATCTAGGACACACAATTTTACTAATTTGAATAACAATTTGGACGTGCTACATAATAATGATAATTCATACAGATCAACAAATTGGTCATAACTTGAAAAGGATTTTTATTGAAGCATTTTACACATTCATCGTTCAAGTGACCTTAGACTGTAATCTTAATCCGCGCCAAGTTGAGCTACCGTTGAATGTAACTACAAATTTACAACTGACAATTTATAACATATGACTTAAAGCTACTGAGCCTAATAATGCAGTGGCACAACTTTTTCAGTTTAAAACTCCAATATATGGTTCTGATGGGACAAGTTTCAGCGAATTTTTGGCTCCAAGCGTTTTTCTGGGGTAATTGACTTTCTGATGAATAAATATTCATGTGGTGGAATTATGATTCACAAAGCTTTATGATTTTTGTAGATTGCTTTTCTTCTTCCCACTCTGCTCCAGCGGAATTGCTTACATTTCTGAAAAAAAATCAGGGACATTATTCCGCTCCTTAGTGGCCGGAGTTACGACGGGGGAAATTATGGTAATTAGTTTAAGGAATATGAATGGCCATTATCTGTAGAAGTTTGCAGAATGGTGACCATTTTATCCACTCACCACTCTCTTGTTCATAATTAGGTGGCGTTCTTGATCTCACAAATCGCAGTCCTCATGACTCAAGTAAGCATACGATCGAATTATCTATTCAATAAATATATGCACACCTCTTGATTAAAACCGTTTGATGATTCAGTCCGGATTAGCATTTCTCATTCTGAACGTGGTCTTCAAAATCCCGATACTCGGATCTGTCCCTCTTGGCCTCTCCTTGGCAGTCTTAGTCGGGGTTGGAGGAATGTCCATGGGTATTAATAATCTCAATAACGATGACATGATGATGACGTGCATAAATATGCTATAATTAAAGTTCCGATAAATAACATGTGTTTACATTTACTTTTGTATTTAGGATTTCTAATTTCTGTAATTTGTCAAGAAGAGATTCAGGCTGTTTTACTTGCCATAGGATTTTTCTTCCCAAACTTTTTGTTGGCAGGTCTGGTCCCCATTGATGAAATTTTAAAACAAGTTGCATGTTTAAAGATTTTGTCATGTTTTTTAGGCATGGTTTGGCCGATTCAAGGCATGCCGATTGTTCTACAATACATTGCATATTTATTGTAAGTTAATTCTTGCTGTTTTATTCTACGTGTCATTAATTTTAATACTCAATCATAATTTATTAACAACAGACCCTGTACCCTTGCTTGCGAATCAATGAGGTCGATAGTCTCTCGTGGGTGGAGTTTTACACATCCCTCTGTTTTTCCTGGGTTTATCTCTACCGGTGGATGGATTTTAATTTATTGGATATTGACTATTTTATTACAACATTTCAAAGCCAAAAAATAAAAATAAATAAATATGTGAATAGAGTAAAAATGCTTATTTACTGAATATGAGTAACTTTAGTATAAAATTGTGTTGTTAACTTTACCGATATGTACAATTTATATTCTATATGCAGTATAAATACCTAGTACTGCTAAAGGTATCTGTTTTGAATAAATAAATACTCTTCTTATACTTTTTATTCACCCTGCTTATTTACCAGAGCAATAGTAAAGGTTGAGGCTGGCAATTTCAGAGCTTTCTCTTTTTGCAACATTTCCAATTTTTTGAGATACAGATCATGGTCCAACATCTCTATTTGTTTGGCTAGGTAAATTCTCTGCAACTCCTCATTTTTCCCAGTTACCAATGACGTTACATAAGGATCCTTGGACCGTGACGAGGTTATGGACTTTTCATACTTTTGTGGTCTTCCCACTTTACGTCGATTCTGCACTTGTTTCATTCGTCCCTTGGTGTGATTGCCCTTAGGATTAGTGTAATGAGACATAAATTTATATACCAAAATATATGTAAAATTCGAATACATATCTTATTCATGTGAACCTACCTCATCAGAAAGACTCGAGTCGGACAGATAGATATCCGATTTTACACTGTCACTCAGATCGGGTGAAAGGGATCGTCTATTTCCAGATTTTTTAGCATTGCCTCGCTTTGGAGTTTTCTTAGTTTCATCATCAGAATCGGAATCGATTTCGATATACTTTCGCTGAGTTGGGGTCTTGATTCGATCACTCTTCCGGCGTTTATTACCAATATTATCGGAATCAATGTCACTGTTGTTTTGTGATGGCTTCCCTGTTAAAAAAAGTATCAATTACTTTTTACAGAAATTGACGAACAGTGAGATTTTGGGGTAAATAAAATTGCTTACTACAGATATTAAACAGTATATATTGAAAGGATAGACTTACTTTCTCGAAGTCCTGACTTTCCGTTAGCTGAAATTTTTCGAAATTCCTACGCAATGAAAAAATACATAATCTCACGAGGTAAATATAATTAATGCACCAGAACCACCATAAAAAATTGTTTCTCTACTAATAAATACCTCTGAACCAGCGCGTTGCTTTACGGTTCTTGTTTTTCCTTGTCTTCTAACAATAACTCCGTCATCCGTCTCATCCTCGCTTGTAGAAATATTTCCATTTTCATTTTGTGGGCTAACAGTTTTCCTTTCCCTGAGTGACCGTGATGGAGTTTCCTTCCCCGCACTCTTATTTACTTCGGAGGAACCGTTTAATTCTGGAATTTTCAGCTTAATCACAGCAACAGTTGCACTCTGAGTTAACTTTTTTGGACCTATATAAATATAACAAAACGGATGGATAAGTTCAAGAATCCTGAGGATCAAGGTAGTTTGAGCTACATACAACTCTTACCTGTCACTGTATTTTCATGTTCGCTTTCTTCACTTGTATCTTCTTTATTTCCGTCGTCAAATTTAACTGATTTGCGTTTTATTTTTGATGATTCGGCATCCTTTCCGCTTTTCTCGTTTATTCTTACTGATTTTGGATGGAATGGCGACTTCTCCTCCGATTCAGCGTCCGATAGTATTTCTGAATGCTTTATTGCACGTGGTCGTTTGGATCGACGTGCGGGTGACATTTTTTTGTCGTTAGTTTCACTTTCCGAATCAGACTTCAAATTATCAGATGTATACTTTATTCGACAGACTCGACTCATTTCAATTCATGCTGATACGAATCCAGTGGAGGGACCTTTAGAAACATTATATCAAACCATTTAATTTAGCAAAGTATTAATTGTTAAATGTAACAAAAATGAATACCCTCAGCATATATATATAATAAAAGCATTGCAATAAATATATTACTCATAATAATATTTCTTAAGATTATTTAATCAAGTAGAAACATGTTGGTATTAAACGTGCGTCTTACACATGATGAGAAACGATTTCGCAGATAAGGGGACCAAACATACAAAGGTGGCTGTTTGACTCTCTCATCATTAACGACTCGGTGATATTATTGTGCCTCATCATATTAAGTTGGATGAAATAGTTAAGTCATTTCCAAGTACTTCTATGACTAGAAGTCGTTATAGACCTCGATGGATAAATTTCTCATACACTATTAGATTTTCCTTTTACCTTTTATATATAACTCTGTAAGTATTCTGGAGGATTTAATGATAGTATTTCTTCCTGATTTGATTCCTGTTTGATTAGAGCTATCCTTGGATGTTTATGGTAATTCAACAAAGGACATGAGTTTTTAGCTCTCAAAAATCTACTTCCCACTAATGCTCCAGTCCTTCATGTGCAGTCTGTCCTTGTTTTGCATTTTAGTAATATTCCTAAAATAATAATTAAAATAATAGCTAAAAACCAAAATGAGAATTTGCATATTGGTCCTCGTCAGCTACTTTTTCGTGAGCATCACAGCATCACGAAGGGCGTTTTATGATGACGGAACTCCGTCATCGGAGGAAAGCTATTTCCAAGAAGAACCCCAAAACGAAAGTTATAATAATGTCCCTCGCCCTTCGCCCAAAGCGCCGAAAGATAAAAATCAACCGGAAACACAAGATCACTACCTCAAGCCAGAAGAGAACGTAACACAACTCGAAAAGTTGGACACGCAATTAGAAACTACAGTGACTTCAGTACCACAGATAATAGCGAACCTTCCACTTACAGAGGAACACTCTGATTCCAATGAAGATATTGTAGGAATTTTTAGCCTTGAAGAGGTCAAGGTCAAACCAGGGAATAAATTAAAAGTTGTATTTCGCCCACGACCCACACCCAAGTCGGTTTCATCATTGGCTTCGTCAAATTCCAGTAGAAATCATAAGAAATTGACAAAAACGGAGGACAAAAAAGCCAAAAATTCGAAAGAATCACAGCAAGTACCACAAGACAGGGGGCCACAAATATTGTTTTCGATACAATCAGGGCAAACGCAAGATGAGGAAGGTCAAGAGGAGCTTAAATCCATACAAATAATTAATAAGAAAGGTACATCAGTTAAAACTCGAACCGATGTTAAACTGCATCCTGTGACGACATTAGATGAATCTGAATATGACGACGAAGATTTAATAACCACGGACCAAGACCCATTTGAAGTACGGGTACGGCAAAAACAACTCAAAGCTTCAGTCTCTGGGAAACCAGAAAGAAACCAGCCAAATAGCTCTAGATATCATCCATTTACAACAGTAAGATCAACTAGACGAACAACAAAAATACCATCAATAGAGGCTGACAATAAACCCCCAACTTCCCAGTCATGGCGAAATCACTACGACAATGCTGAGTCTGATGAGCAAAACGGTGAAAATTACTATGAGCCTGACATTGGAACTAGTTCTCGCCCACTCTCAAACTCTTCATCCAGAGTTAACCACAACTCAGCAGAAATCGCAGTGGCGTACAAAATCATCCTCCATCAAATCAGAAGCCTATAATAATTCCGAGACGACGGACAAACGAGCCTACAGGTGATGATGAAAATCTTGAGGGCAGTGACGAGGACACACTAAATTCAGATGACGAGGATGGAACAAATGACTTTTCATCATCCGAAGAAGGAATTGTGAGACGCAAGTACGTGGCAGCAACAACTACTGAAAGGTCGACTACACCAGGTTCGAGAACAACAAACCCACCACAAAAAGTTAAGGCTCGTGGACGTCCCTATTCAAATTCAACCCGACGAAGGCTTCAAAGTCAAGGTAGTTTTAGCATCCAAGCGGAAGAAGTAAAAGAAGAGAAGTCCAGGGCCAATGCTACCCCCAGAAATAATAGTTTTTCAAACCAAGGGCCATCTCAACAGAGTCGGGGAAAAGTTTACAATTAAGATGCAATCAATAATCTTTGTTGCACTTCTAAAAATGTAGCACTGTAAATTGTTAATTTTTCATCAACTATCAAACATATCAATAAAAAAACAATGAAACCGATGACTGACAGAATTTTGCTTACCAATTTTATTAAGTTCTCCAATTTCCTTCCTCCAGTGAAGCTCTTTCATCAGAGAGTTGACTTCCTCCCCGGCTCTAGCAGCTCTCTGGGAGCTCTTCCATACTCGATTGCTTCCTACAAGCAATGCTGAAGACATTCAAATCCCATTCAAAGGCTAATTAACCCTACAATCCCGGATTAAATGCGATTTAATTCAAATATGCCATCCTAGTTCGAACTATTCCTCAAGTTGAGGACCTCAACATCATTCCAGAGAAGGTAGGATTTCTTTGTGAAAATTAATTAGATTGGAAAAATTGAGGTTCAAGTTATTCAATAATTTACAAGTTTGAAACCTCAAAATGGTCCTATTTCCGCCAACATTGTTTTGTCAATGACAAATTGATACGCAAGAAGGAGTAATAAATAAGATGCAACGTTTACGCCTAATTTTATACAAGAATCAAATGTTTAAACCAAACCTGAATATATTTTCAGATATTGAAGGAATATGACGAGACCATGCGTTGCATATACATATAATTTTCACAAATTGGTCATAATAATTTGACAGTGACTGTTTGATGGACATTTATCTAATATTGACAGGCTTAATTCCATATCAATCTTTGAAATATTTTTAACTGTGAAAAGAGTGTGTAATGTTATTCCCAATAGTCTTCATCGTCATCTGCATGACTAGAGTCCATAATCGCAGGAAGGCGTACAATACCGTTTTTCAGTGCATATAAAAACATCACTATAGTCGCAATGAGTCCTGCCCCCAGTTTCTGTTTGAATGAAAATGATTCTTCTTCTTGCGTGGGTTTCATAATTACTTCCCCGTCGTCACCGTAAACTAATGTTGATGATGAGACTAGAGCTGGACTTCGTCCTAAATTCAGTATGTATTTATTTTAGTCCTAATAGGATTTGAACTACAATAGTTTTCTCAAGTTTACATGTGTATGCACATATTCATACCTGGAGCAGCCGGGAAGTACCTTTGAAGGACTCTGGCGAGATATCTTTCCAAGTTAGCATTACTTGTAATAATCTCCTTCAATGGGTTATGAGGCAATTTGACTTTCCAAAACACAGCTAAATAGCTGAAAACAATTGCGTCCATTGTAGTTGGGGACGATGTAGCCATAAAGAACTCGTTCTGTCCAAGCTTTTGGGATAAGTCAATGATACATTTCTTTGCTTTATCCAACACAAACTGTTCCACTGCTTGTGGTTGATCCTCCGCATCTCTGTACTGGGATATGACAACCTGCTTAGCTTGGTTACGCAATCTTTCTGGGTACCACAGTTTATACAACCACGGAAGCCTGTATAACAACATCATCATACCATATATAGGGTTCATATAATCCAAAATATTCAACGGTTTTTAGATAATATGCTAGGTACTATAGAGCAGGTTAGAATTATAATTTACCGGCGTCCATAGAATGGACGAATAATTTCTGAGTAATTATTTTCATGAATCCAGCTGCAATAATAAGTGTACATATATTGCCAATGGGTAAAATGCATACAAGTATAATAATAATGAAACTTACAAATAATATTGGTAGGCTACTTGCAACGACTCCCAAATCAATTGACCATAAGCCACCGTTTCTGCACATTGGATAGATGTCAGTCCATAATCTCCACTGAAATTCTGAGCCAAATTGAAGCTCAATTTACGGTGCAATTATTTTTAAAGACAAAATTCCGAACTTTTTTTTATCTCATACTAACCTTAGATCGTAGATAAAGGCCAACATCATGAGCAGAGAAAATGCTCATAGCGTTTGATTGTTTGAAGAATGGAATTACTCCTTTGGGTGACTTCCATGGATTATTACACTCCGTAATGGTCGTTGGAGCACCAGCAAAGCGAACTGCAGCCTATTAAATTATCATATTTTCTCTAAATTCACTCTACACTCAAAAGTCATTTCATCATTGCAATAAGTTTTTAATTTTGTAGTTTTACCAGTGTCTGTAATGATTCCGGGTCAATTGATGGCAAACCCCATCCGCCGCCCCAAATGTACAACTCCATCCTACCCTCGTCGTCTTCGAAATTTGTGTGTTGCTGGCTATTCACCTTCACTGCTGACTTGGCCATTTCAACAAGTCTCTAAAAATTCCTAAAACCTAATTAAAAAATATTATGCATTTAAAATCTAGCCGATATAGTGCATTGTTACTCTACTAATCGTACGGTCACTTGTCAGATGTCAGAGTTATCAACTCACGTTAGATATCTTCCTTGGGGGTTTGGTAACCAAACTTTGGTTTGGTGGATCTTCCAATAATAATAATTCACCTATTCAGGATTACTTTCCTTGAGCTGTTTGAGAATATTTCTCATTAGCCAAGCTTATAGTTTTAAATTCATGAATTTTTATGACCCTCCGACTCCATTACCAACGCACATTTATTTAGCATTAATGAACTGAGGAGATGAAGTAATTCTACGAAAGTATGAACAAACGTACATGTGCTAATCCTATCAAACACAAACACTATTTATGAAAGTTTTACTGGACTGGAATGCCGGTCGAGTCGGACGGGGCACAATGATGCCCAAATTCCTCCAAATTCAACTTGCATCTTCAGAAGAATTTTTCTCGATGTCGTCGTTGCGTTCTGAAACTGAAAATGTGAAGGAAAAATTTTATTTTACACGACACTTCGTTGATCAGTTATTTAACAATATTTTGTTTAAGTTAATTTTCTACAACTAGTGAAAATGGAGGAAATTGAAAAGTTGGAGTACTTGTCACTGGTGTCGAAAGTGTGCACGGAGCTAGATAACCACTTGGGCATGAACGACAAAGACTTGGCCGAGTACGTTATCGCGTTGGCTGATGAAAACCCAACCTTCGAAGGGTTTCGATCTGCATTGGAGAAAAATGGAGCCGAATTTACAGTAAGTAGTTACAAATTAAATGCAAATATATTTATATTTAAAAAATATACAGGTTTATAAGAAATATAACAATTGTTTCTCTTTAATTATAGGACTCGCTGACGGCTAATTTATTTAGATTAATTCGTCACATGAGGTCAAAGTCTCAAAAGGAGAGAGGTGCTGCTGGAGATAAGGGAGCTTCGACTTTTGCTGCAACAGACGCAAAGACAGAAGTGCTTGCACACAAGTTTCCGTTTTTGGCCATTCCTGATAAACCGGAAGTTCAGTCAATGTTAGTATTTTTAATAAAATTTGAAACGAATTAGTTTTATTTTTATTGGAAATCTGTCTCTAATCCATATTATATTGTATTTCAAATTTATAAATCAGGTTGCAAGCGGAAATTCAACAGAAAATCAAAATAGAGATTGAAGAAAAGTCCAAGAAAGCAGAATTAGATAACATGATGGCAGCGCTGGAATCTTTTGCTCCATCCAAACAGGACACGAAAGAAAAAAGTCCTAGGGGTAACCACAAACCTTCAAATAGGAGAAGTCGGTCCCCCTCATCGAAAGGCAGGCGGAGAAGCAAGTCACGATCAAGGAGTCACTCGCCAAAGAGAAAGAGAAGATCCTCTAGATCTAGATCTAAAAGTTATGACAGGAATGATAATAGGTAAGTTACACGTCAGCATTTTTGACCACTTTAGTGGTCTGTACAAAGATACTCAACTTATCCTTCACACAAAGAAATTAAACGCCAAATGTTAACAGGTCACGACGAAACCGAGGTGGAAGGCACTCAAGATCTCGCTCGCGTGATCGGGATGATCGCGCAAGACTGAGGGACTATACAAAGACAGAGAAACCATATTTAAGTGACAAGCTGCCGCCAATGGAGCCTGAAGTCGGAAAAATCTATACTGGGAAAGTAGCATCCGTTGTGAAGTTTGGATGTTTCGTTCAGCTTGATGGTCTTCGTGGCCGCCCTGGTAGAAATAGATGGGAAGGTCTTTGCCACATTTCTCAACTCAGACGAGAAGGTCGTGTCAACACACCAGAAGATGTTGTTTCCAAAGGCCAACAAGTAAAGGTCAAAGTTTTGTCATACAACAACGACAAAGTCAGTCTAAGCATTAAAGATGTCGATCAAGAAACTGGCGAAGATTTGAACCCATCCATCAACGTAGGCAAAATCAATGCAGATGGGAGAGTTGATGATGAAAGTGATATGCGAAATCCTGATCGTCCCATGAGCAAGATCGCTTATGTGATCCCTGCACTTCGGGACATGTCTGAAGACACTGGAAAATACAGAACAAATAGAATTTCTTCCCCTGAAAGGTAATTGTGCGAGTTATCAACTAATTAACAATTTAATCAATTAATAAACATCTGTGCTGTGTTCGCATTGATGAAAATCCTTACGTTCAATCAATCCATTTTTTTTAAATCCTGTCCCATCAGTCTTTGTACCTTTGCTTTCCTCTCTTACAAACTAGGCTAGCAAATCACAGTTTACTTTGTTGGTCAGTAATTTAGTTAATTTTCTACCCCATTTTTAAAAGTCCTGAGAGAAAGCAACACATTTTAATTCACTTTATTATGATAATAATTTGTATTATATATATATTTACACAGATGGGAACTCAAACAAATGCAAGCGGCTGGGACACTTGATAAGCAAACTCTGTTAGAATTAGATGAAGAGCTTCATGTTCTCAATGATAATGACGATGACGAAGAAGACATTGAAGTGGAATTAGCGGAAGAAGAACCAGCATTTCTTAGGTTAGTGCACGAAATTTTTATTAATTACTATGCAATTAGTATGTTCGTAAAATTTACAGTTATTATTTTGCATTCTTATAGAGGGGTTGGGGGAGGTCGCTTGCTCCATGATTTGTCCCCGGTGCGCATAGTTAAAAATCCAGATGGTTCTCTTGCTCAAGCTGCCATGATGCAAAGTGCTCTCTCCAAGGAGAGAAGGGAGACTAAAATGATTGAGAGAGACGAAGCTGGTGGAAATCGAGGTCAGCGAGGATCTCGAACAAATTGGAATGATCCCCTCCCCGAAGAACCGGAAGGAGGAGAAAACGCATCCAGAGGAATTGGGATGCCTTCAAACTCAGCCATTGAATTGCCTGAATGGAAAAAACACATTATTGGAGGCAAAAAAGCCAGTTATGGAAAAAAGACCACAATGTCCATTTTGGAACAACGACAATCGCTTCCCATTTTTAAGTTAAAGGATGAACTTGTAAAAGCCGTATCGGACAATCAGATTTTGATTGTTATTGGGGAGACTGGTAAGTTGAGTTATAAGTTATGACAAAATAGGGGTATGCATGCATGTATTATAGTGTGACAATGGTAATCATTTATATTTAGGATCCGGAAAAACGACCCAAATTACTCAATACTTGGCTGAAGCAGGGTTCACAACTCTGGGTAAACTTGGTTGTACCCAACCTAGAAGAGTGGCTGCAATGTCCGTCGGTAAGTTTTAGTAAGAATCGGTTTACAAATTTTGGATAAAAACCCAAGTATCGATCGGACAGCAATACAGCATGATATTGATAACCTTAACCTTACATGTACTTTTTACGTTTGCAGCTAAAAGAGTGGCTGAAGAGTTTGGGTGTAGATTGGGACAAGAGGTTGGATACACTATCCGTTTCGAAGATTGCACGTCTCCAGAAACCCAGATAAAGTACATGACGGATGGTATGCTGTTGAGAGAGTGCTTACTTGATTCTGACCTCAAGGGTTACTCTGTCCTCATGTTGGATGAAGCCCACGAACGCACCATTCACACTGACGTCCTATTTGGCCTGCTAAAGAAAGCTGTGACCAAGAGGAAGGATCTCAAACTAATTGTAACTTCGGCTACACTCGATGCTGTGAAGTTTTCCCAATATGTAAGTTTTACGTTTTACATTTATTTAGACATAATGTAGTGTAGTTCTTTTTTAAGTCTTAAATTGTACCTTGCAACTAATATTTAATGTATTTTGACTCAATTCCAGTTCAACGCAGCTCCAATCTTCACAATCCCTGGAAGAACATTCCCTGTAGAAATCCTCTACACGAAAGAACCTGAAACTGATTACTTGGACGCTAGTTTGATCACAGTGATGCAAATTCACTTAAATGAACCCCCTGGCGACATTCTTTTATTTCTCACTGGTCAAGAAGAAATCGACACAGGTTAGTAGAAAGAAAGGCAGAACTGCCACATTTTATTTAAACATGTATTATATCATCTTATATTCAAAGAAAGCACGACCAATCGAAAATGTTTTCGCATAATGAAATAATTATATCGCTTTGTAAACTACAAATTGTAACCTGACTCTGTTTTCTATTTCAGCTTGTGAAGTTTTGTATGAAAGAATGAAAAGTTTAGGACCAGATGTCCCAGAACTTATTATCCTCCCTGTTTATTCAGGTAAGCTAATTAGTTTTATTTACAACCCAGCTCCAGCATTATTATAAACATAGTATAATTATGACATATTGTGTATGTATACAAAAAATAAAATTTCCCGTATAACCTCATTTTCAGCTCTTCCTTCTGAAATGCAAACAAGAATTTTTGACCCAGCTCCACCCGGATCAAGAAAAGTTGTAATTGCCACTAATATTGCGGAGACAAGTTTAACCATTGACGGGATATATTACGTAGTTGATCCTGGATTTGTCAAACAGAAAGTGTACAACTCAAAGAATGGGATGGATGCTCTTATAGTTACTCCAATTTCTCAAGCTCAAGGTTAGCATCTAGATAGTATATTCAAGTTATCAATATGATTAGCATAATATTCCATCATATTTTACCTGCAGCATACCTCTAATCGAATGAAATTTTATACTTATTTAATTTCTAGCTAAACAGAGAGCTGGTCGTGCCGGACGAACAGGACCAGGGAAAACATATCGATTGTACACTGAGCGAGCCTACAGGGACGAAATGCTTCCAACACCGGTAAGAACAATTAATGATTTTAATTTGCTTATCATAAGTAATGCTAAATATATATATCTCGTCTGCGCCAACAATCAACAAGTATTTTTTAAATGGCCCATGTTTGTTATGGTAGGTACCCGAAATCCAACGAACAAATCTTGCATCTACTCTAATTCAACTCAAGGCAATGGGAATCAACGACCTTCTGCACTTTGACTTTATGGACTCTCCTCCAGTTGAAGCTCTGGTGATGGCTTTAGCCCAGCTTCACTCCCTCTCTGCCCTGGATGACGAAGGGTTGTTAACAAGGCTTGGACGACGGATGGCCGAATTTCCACTAGAGCCCCCGCTCGCAAAAATTGTCATCATGTCTGTACAGTTAGGTTGTTCAGAAGAAATTTTGACGATCGTGTCCATGCTCTCCGTTCAAAACGTCTTCTATCGGCCAAAGGATAAACAGGAGTTGGCGGATCAGAGAAAAGCCAAATTCCATCAAGCGGAAGGTGATCACTTAACCTTGCTGGCTGTCTATAATGCATGGAAAAATAACAAATTCGCTCCAGCATGGTGTTATGAAAACTTTGTACAAGTCAGAACTCTTAAAAGAGCTCAGGATGTGAGGAAACAGTTGCTTGGCATTATGGATCGTCACAAGCTAGACGTGGTTTCTTGCGGTAAATCGACGTCAAAAGTACAACAAGCTATTTGCTCTGGATTCTTTAGAAACGGTAAGTTATCAAGCATTGCATTTATTAATCTCACATAGGCGATGAGGGCTTATTCGAATAATTTAAAATGCTCATCAAAATTCAAATCATTCTTTCCTATCACATTAATCTCAAGAATACGCCTGGTGAGAAATTGAAAGACATTCTGAATATATACATAATCCCCTTCCTCTGCAGTGTTGAGGTGATTAAACCTCTTATTGTGCCTGCGAATGGGGACTCCATCATGACGATTTAGACCCTTCATTTCCGCGATTACTAGAGCTGCAATTCCTAGAGCTTCCTTCCTCCTGCAGTCACTACCAAATTCTTTCTCCAATCCATCCAACTCCTCCTTCATTTTCTGGTCTATGGCTTGTTGTTGTTGCAATTCTTCAGGGGTCCAATCAGGTTGTGGAATAGGGGGAACATAATTAACAACTGCGAGTTGTTCAGGACTGATGGTGGGCTGATAGAGGGGGCCTGCTCTGAAACCGGTAGAGCTGCATGGAAAATGTAAACTGCAGTTAGAGCAGCATCATGTAGGTTAATATTAAATTATACTTACTGGGTGTGTCTACTTCCAACACCACTGTCTTTTGCCGTTTTTAGGCCGATTCCAACCTTGTCATTTTTTTCAATCCCTACGTAGACCCGGGGAAGTTTATCACAATATTTGAGAGCCATTTGAGACGTGGGTGGGTGGGGGTTTTCACTTTCTCGTACGGTAAAAGTTATGCCATTCTGCTCCAAAGTCCTTTCCACCGCAGCCAGGTCAGCAGAGGGCATATCCAGTTCAGCCTGAAGAAACATGTGTGGGAGGATATTCTCATTTCCAGCTCTTGCAATGTTCCTCAAAAGGCAGATTAACGCCAGAGATAGCTGGAAGTATACAATTAAATACTTAATTATTAATTATTAATTTCACTCGATATAGATTAACAAATTAAAACAACCTTAGTAGTTTGCATAAGAGGCTGTCGTCCAGGTGAGGGAAACAGAATAGATTTGACTTTCCCCGTGAACTTGCAATTAGGATGGGAGGTGAAATACGTCTGCATCGTCGTCAATTTTTTGTGTTTTGCAAAGGAGCGTAGCATGTGATTGTCCCATGGTTTCATCTTTACTGAACGTTGGTCTGCGTATGCATAAATTCTGGACTCCTTGTTGTTGTTATCCACGAGTACTGCCAAATGGAGCATTATATTTGTGGAATGATTGTTACAGAGATAATGCGTTGCAGTTGATTTCTGCCAGCATTTTACACATTTGGAGTACTGGTGAAAGCTCCTCCCAACTTGGATTTTCCCAAATTTGATTATACCAAGATCAGCAGCCCAATAAACTGAAATCCACTCATCCTGGAGTGTCTTGTTAGGTGTCTCAGGACTTTTGGTGGATGTATTCTTTTGTTTATTTACGAGTGATTGGGAAATGAAGACTGGGAAGAATCTGTTTTCATAAGGATTGAACATGTCTTCTGGATCTATACACCTGTTGTAGTGGTCAGTCCAAGTAGACATGACTTGCTGGAAATATGCATTTCCATTTGTGATATCTGCATCACTCCCATTAAATCCAAACTCTATCATGCCCTTCTTCACTTGGTCAAAAACTGCTCGGATTGCAGTTCCGTTTTGTGGGATTTTGAAGACAGTTCCTTCTTCATCTTCCGATTCTATTCCAGATGAGTGGTGTGTTGTGGTGGAGGAAGGAGTTGCAGGGGATTTCGGTTGAATGAATAATGAAGGAATTACTCTCTAAAGAACAGAATATTAAATCATTATATACAAATGGAATGGTAGTACGTATTAACTCACACGTTCCATTAACCTATCCAGCAACTGGCTGAACAAAGCATCCACATTATTCTCATCTCGGTGGAGGTGGATATCCGGGTGAGTTGGTGGCTGATAATTGGCATCAATTGACTTAATTACTACATGAACAAAAAAGTGTAATTCCATATTACAGACGCGATTTTTATAAATATACGCATAATAATTACAATTTTTTGCAAATCCTGTCTCCCTTTCACACTGTTCCCTTGGTCTATCTACCCACACTTCAAGGAACCGTAGTCCATCCTTAAAATGAGACGCCTTGGCTGCTTCTCTATCCTGCAAATCAGAGTGAAAGCATAATCATTATTATGTACTAATACATGATTCGTTGGCATTTTATCATGTACCTCTATGTTAGGAGCAACTATGCTGATGATGGATATAAATCCTTCCTTATTGAACAATTTGGCAGTCTCACTCGCAATATGCACAAAATGTTCACGGAGTGGGGCAGGGCTGCATAAGCCAGAAGCAAGGTCTTTTCCATCCAACTGGTTTACTGGAATCCCTCGGTCTTTGAGAAGGGTCGTGAGTCGATTAGATAGGGTGGATTTCCCTGATTTTGCTAACCCTACAGCAATAACAAATGTATTTTAGCAAATGCATAGTAGTTGTTATCATCATCATCATACTATTTCAATAATTTATAAATACATACTAACCAGTGAACAGGATGGTGCATCCTTGAGATGTTTCCACACGTGGTCGTTTAGGGGGTGGAGAAAAGAATGATGGGGGAGTGGTGAAAACACTTTTACTACTGGATGGTTCCATTACACTTATTTTATTTATTTTAGACAGTTACAGTTCAGTATAATAATAAACAAAGTAAACTCTCACTCTATTAACACGAGTAAAAAACGCTTTGTTTTTCTTTCCCTGCTGATGATGACTTCCCGCTCACGGATGAATTTCCTCTGTCTCAACTTCATACTTGTTTTTTTGCAGCTGCAAAAAAGGATCCCCAAGAAGGATACAGAACCTTAGTCGACTCTCAGGTAGTTTACATTCATCCCTCAAGTGCTGTTTTCAATCGACAACCAGAGTGGGTGGTGTATCACGAAATTGTTCAGACAACAAAGGAGTACATGAGAGAAGTGACGACAATAGACCCGCGTTGGCTGGTGGAGTATGCACCTGCATATTTTAGATTTTCAGACCCCACAAAATTGTCCAAATTCAAAAAGAACCAGCGACTCGAACCGCTCTACAATAAGTACGAAGAACCAAATTCATGGCGAATTTCCAGAGTTCGCAAGCGAAGGAATTAATCCGTTTTTTGATTATTATTTCGATGGCGGTATCCGTATTTATTGTACTATAAATTAATTTTAGACGGTCTATTAGTATTAATATTTTCATTAAAAATATACTTATGTTGTAATGACGTTTTCAGACAAGATTTCATTAAAATGTTTGTCAAAAAAATTCAACGTGTTGCAAATTACTTTTGATGGTCATCAAAAGTAGAGTTCCTACGTCTTATACATATGTGCATGAAACACATTTTTTGTTTCAACAAAATGTTTCATGACCTATGGTTTATGTCCAACGCAATTTTTCATTCACGACTGTTACTTAACCCACCCATTCATTATATTCATACAATACTCATCATGCTACTTATTTTCATCGTCGTAGACCTGAGACTTGACATCACCATGAGCGGATTGTCCATGGAATTTCACGTGTAAACGAAGAGTAAACTTTCACTTGGGCTCATCCCTTCCCAGCTCTAACAAGTTATGTATGTATGGATTGTGGTAGAATAATGTAATGTACGTAAAAAGTAAGCGAGCCGCAGTGAGTTAGACGGCAGACTCTCTCAACTGGCCGGATTTTCCCCCTTTGTTGGTTCACTTTCGTTGATATTCCAGAGTAAAAGTTGATGGTGCTCTCAGTCCTCGTTCAGATCAAGAGTTGAGAACACATCGCGAGTATTGGGAGAAAAACGCCACATCCACAAAAAATGAAGCGTCCTTCTTGTCCCATCTCACCGTGATCTGATTCATGACAAGTTTTGACTAACTGTACGCAAGCAAAAGTTTGTCCATTAGCTTACCAGCCTATTCTTGCCAACCAACTTTCAAGTTACTGTGTAAAGCAAGCTCTGTGGAGCTTATCTTGATACCACCCCTTGTTTATAGTCTCTGTGGGGTTCCAAGTGGTCAGTTCAGTGCGTTCTAGATAAATACTGAATCAAGCCAACGGTTTCAAAATAAATACGTTGCGATTTTCCACTGCGCTTTAAATATTTGTTAAAAGAGTCAGAAAGATTAACTCTGAACAAACGTAGACATTCAAAATCTTGTCTACATTTGCATATGTATTAGTAATAATTATTTTAAACAGGCTGTCCCACGTTGCAAAGCATTGAAATAAACTACGAGAATAGTAAAATAAGTACACCAGAAAGGAAACACTTGTTTTTCACATTCATGCATTTTTGGTGATTGAACGAATATTATAAAATTAATGGAATGCTGCTATCAGTGAAGGATAAAGTGGTCGTGGATGTAAAGAAAGCCGAAATGACGAAGACGAACAAAAACTGGAGCTGGTTTGGTCTCTACATCGCCACAATTCTACTTATCATAAAGGTGAGAGTTGCATCGAGTATGACAGAGATTTGTGTTATCAAAGTATATTCTATTCTAAAAGGACGAGTTGTGTGATAAGTGGTTATCGGTTACCTGTCTTAACTCTTGTTCATCCTCCTTAACTGCTCAACTTTATTCTGCTTTTCCATTAAAAGCAATTTACGATCCAACCTTGGGAGGCGAACGATTTCATAAGTCTCAATTTCCCCAAAGAAAATTTCACAGCTAAACAAATGTATCGAAAAGTCTGTGTTGGTGTTGTCTTGCTTGTTTATATTGCGTTAATAACTATTGCTCTAAATTCGTATTCTCATGTTAGTATTTTCAAGAATTCTCAAAGTTGTGCATACATCTTCGTTTGCTATTTGTCGCAGTTTTCTGCAGGCGCTCGAAATAGTGTTGACATCGTGTCCTATCACAACAATCAAGTTTCTCTTTTGCAGTTTGGAATAGAATTGTGGTCTGGTGATATTACGCTATAGCTCCAGTAACGTCATAGCTCCTCCAGTAACGTCACATGCACCAAAGGGATGAATTGTAATGCAAATAAAGAAAATAAGACGAGCAGAACGAAAGCCATGCTGGCTCTGTCTGGGCAAATTGAGAAGATTGAGATCAGGTTATTTTCATCATTTTTCCCCACATTTAATAAAGTTTGGTCGTGTTGAAGCACTGGCACAAAAATATCCGTCATTTTGTTTCATTCAACTCACTCTTGACATTTACACGTGTCACAATATTTTGTTGAATAAAATGAAATGAAAATGGAGCACCGACATTTTATTATCTAGCCATTCTCCAGCCATACCAAAGAAAATGCCCTTTCACGTTATGTACGAACAAGCGAAAGCCACTCATCCTCAAGTTATATGTACTACTTGCTTACCTACATTTCTCAGCTATGGATGGTCGGAGGAAGCAGAGTCTTCCTTTCCTTGTGCCGATATTTCTTGGTTTCATATCTGCAATGGTGATCAAGTCGGAAGTTCTGCACTGATTTCCTTTTCTTGATTATTAAGGAACACTATTATACTTAGTTTGAGCATACAAACTGAGAGTTGAGCACAGTTTTTGAACCTGAGAAGATAAACTAGATGTTATTTACATAGTATTCGTTGATTCAATATCTACATACGTATCATTGGGCACTAACCGCTCGTTTGTTGAAAAATTAACAATGTCTAAAGTGGCGTAGCCGTCCAGGTCAACTATGACCTTGTTACCCAAACTATTAAAATAATCGTAGAGACAGGGTCCATATAGCAAATGCAAGATGATCTCTTAAATTCAAGGAAGAGCATTGGAAAATGACCCAAGAGGGTCTCGTCTCCAATTTTTAATTACCGCAGGAGGAGCAGATTTTGAAATGTAATCCATATTTTCTTCTTGAAATTTCACAGCCTCTTCAATTGAATGAAAATAAATAAGAAATATCTGCGTCTGATTATGTATAGTGGAACTAACAGATTCATATCTCGACCCAAGTATCCTGAGACTTTTGCTCTATCAAACATCGACGTAGTGTATAAAATCAATTTTATGTGTACATATACAGGTACGTGTTATATCAACACAAAAATGTATTTCATTCACCTACGCCCATAAAAATGGTTATCCAATTTTTTAGGTCCAACTGATTTGAGCGTGTACGATGTATTTTTTAGCCAATGCCCAATGTTACTCTTAAAGAAGACTAATCAAGATTTATAAATCATTATTAACTCAATCCATGATAAGTACTGCGTATAACCTACACATATAAATATGTGCGAGCGTGAGTAATAACTAAAATCTTCAGTGTATTGAAAATTATCATGTAGCTCGTCCCAGTTTCAGCTTTCAGTATTTTAACTTTGTGGATTTTGAGATTTTTTCTCTAAAGAATTGAAAAGTTTTTATTAGGATGAAAGTTTAGGTTAGTTAGCCATGTATAATCTTGGAACTGAATCCTTCTTTAAAATAAAAAAAAGTTTTATTAGACTCAATTGTGGGATCGATTGGGTCCTCATTAAATATGCAAAAGTTACTTATGTATATATGTAGGCACATATATATATGCACGGTACATATAACAGTTTGGCATTGGTATAGGCCTATTTAGACGCTTCCCCTATTTGTTTGTGGGTCATCAATTTATGGACATGTGAGGAAAATATCGATAAGAATGAACCCAAAAGAAAGTGAAAGCCAATTCATTTATCCCAAGTGCTACACACATTTTTCTTGTCCCAAATTAAGCAGACAGTGAGGTAGATTTTGTTTACTAAAATACATACCTATGTGTACACAAAGTACCAAAAGTGCTGTTGTTCTTGAAATAAATAAATGGATCCAGCATCATAAACAGACTCCGATAAATTGAGGTTGATTTCAAGAAATGCTTATTCTTTTCCAAAAGGACAAGAAGGCTTGATTTAGAGTTTTTTCTAGTGAAAGGAAGTGCTCGATTGTGCTGTCTGATCATGTACAAAATCAGTCATCGAAGTCCCCATATCTTTCGATTGGACAATTTACTTATCTTTAAAGGGAAGATACTATACACATTCAATAAAGCATCGGTGAACAAAATCCCCTTTTCGACTAAAACATAACGGAACACATAAAGAATAAAAGCATCTTATTGCAACACTATCCGGAAGAATCTGGGACGGAAAGAGGCCAAATTATTTCTTACTAGAACGTTTCCTTTAATCCATGAAACTCAGAATAGAGAAAATATTACAAGGAGTCGTATAAGTGTTACACAACCAGCGATTTTGGAACGGTTTTCTTTCGGAAACAGCTTTGGGATGTGGTTTCGGTTTCATTCATAGCATAGCCTGGATTTAATGCTGGCCGTTGCGAATTGTCTCCAACAACGTGGACAAGGAAGAAGGAGAGAGAGGAAGAGGAAGAAGGGGACGCAGTATGAGCAACCATTATTATCAGTTCGAATTGCATAAGATGACGATTACAAGGAGGAAAGAAAGGGTTGAGACAAGTTTCACTTGGCTACATTTTTGGCAGAAATAAATCATCAATTCCCGCAGTATTTCTAACATAATGTAATATCTTAATGCGTTCCAATCTCATGCTAGCATTCCAATTTCATGGTTATTCAGAATGTGCACAAGTTGGTAAACATTAAGCTATCCTTTCATATTTAAGTGGCAAAACAATTTGCAAAAATGGTAAATAATAAAATAAATTGGAAACTATTTAATTGTTAAAATGTAGTTGGTTAAACTGCAGAAGATTTTCCCGTGTTTGTTTTCCTATGTATGTAGAAAATACACTTTCAATTCAGTTTATCAGGCCCCCAGTCGACAGAAAAGCTTACGTAGAATTTCTATTCTATTAGGATTTGAGGATAAAGGAAATGGGGATGCGTTTCCCTCTTGGTCGTTGTCAATTAGTTTATTTACTGAACATGGCGTTGTTGACTCTAATTGTTATTTCGGCATCTTTGTACCCGAGATAAGTATGTATTCCTTGCATTCCTCCCCTCCTCCTCCTCTGGAACTTTTCCTCACATTTATTGTGCAAGGAAATGTGAATTGGATTGGAGAGTGTCGAGCCAGACGGAGAAAGCGAACTAACAAGTGATAATCTCACTAAAACCAAAATCTTACATTTTGACCAATCAAGTGCATCTGTTACAACATGAGTTTAGAGGACATCGAGATGTATTTTACATGGTGTTGTAAATGCAATTGTCTCCAAAACCTCACAAACATTGAGCCGACGACAAGGTGTTATGTGTGATTGTGAATTTATGATGGGAAGTGGACAGGAAGTTTGCTTTTACGACATTGCTGTTGTGTGGCCCGGTGAGAACGGTACACGAGA